ACAAACATATGTATCCAACTACAAATTACGACTATATATGTATATGTATATTTATATTTATGCAAACGCGAAAAGCAAACAAGCGTCTCGTCAATGTAAAGCATCAAATTTAGTTAGGGCAGGCAATTCACGAGAAATAGTAGACAAAGCAAACGTTTGTAGTAGTTGATGGATTGATGCATTTTTGTGTACATAATATCGCTAAAGAGTATATAAATATATGTATATATATTAACCAGAGACATTGGGTAGGAATTTCACCAATTACAAGTTGAAGAATTTTTCTTTTTAATGGAGCAGTTTACACAGGGCATGTTCAAGTACAGCATTTGTGTTTCATTTATGTGCAACTAGTTGCGCTCTAATTTTTTGTGGGGCAACTCTAAATTAGCTATAATGTGTGTGTTTAAAAAGTAAACGGAAATTTTGTTTACGAGCTAGTCTCGTTGCCGATTTTCCAGTTTGTGTCTGCAGCAAGTTCTTTAACGCGGCCAAAACAAAACAAAACCATTCTGAACTGAACCAAACCGACAGGCAAAAAGCCAAATTCGAATTGAGCGCAAGCGAAAAACGAAGGCGAAACAGAAAAAATAGAAGAAATAAACTAAAACGCACACACAAAATAATCATGAGCAACAAATTTCAAAAGCAAATTTGTTAAGTATTGTATTTTAAAACCAAGCAGTTGAGAATCACAACTGCTCAGTTGCCTGCCAGGTTGGGGCCTCTCTGGCACTTTTCACTTGATGCCAGTTGGTCCCGGACAATTTCAGTGCACGGCTCGCGTACGCGCTGAAAACAATTCGAGGATTGTGCAAAATTCAAATAATAAACAATAATTAAATACACAAATTCGAGCAATTTTATGTTCATGTAAAATTTGCAAAACGAAAACGACTAATTAATAAAAACGAAACAAACTTTAAAAAACTTTCAGTTGAACAATTGTGGTAAATATTTAAATAAAATAAATTAGATGTGCAGATTTCGTAATTGCAGTATTTTCGAAACGTTTTCGAATTTACCAATACAAATGCATTGCTTATTCTTTTTTCTTTTTTTTTTTTTGCTAAAAACTTTCTGTGTCTCGCAATTTTTTATTCTCCGCATACACAAATCTCGCTCATTCTCTTTGTCTCTGTTTTTGTGTATGCACATTTCTCGGTGTTTTGTGACGCGCCTTATGTAACACATATTGTCATTGTCGCGAAATGTTGTCGTCTGTCGTCTGTCGCCTGTCGTTTGTCACATCAAGAGTAGCGAAATTTTCACGTTATTTTTAGCACCTGTTATTTTGTTGTTCATCTCCTAGCACATCGTAAGTAAATAAATATGTCTAATGCACTATTGCAACACTTGCAGTGTCGCTACCTGGCGCTGGAACTGGCCCCACCGAGCAGCCAACCATATTGCTGATCAACGGCATTGCTGACGAGTCCCAGCAAGAGGAAGACAAACAGTGCAGCAAATCAGACCTGAAGCTAACACTCGACAACAACAACGTCGAACCGGCGATTGGGGGACTGACCCATCCTACACAAGCACAGGCACCAAGCACACCGGGTGGATCACATCTGCTGCACTTCGAATCTCACCTCATTGAGGACGTCAACGCAGTGCAGAGCGGTGTGGGGATTAATGAACTGCCGCCTATTGAGCAAGAACTGCAGATTGGCACTTCGAAAATAGAAGCTGACGAAGCCGCACAACTGATTGAAGTGGAACCAGCAGGTGCGAAGACCAAGCAGCCAATAGAGACTCTCGCACCATCGCATCAAATAGCCGAGGTTGACGAGACGGCAACGGCAGATAAAGGAACAGCAGCACCAGTACCAGAGGCAGTGCGTCAGACTGCCGAGCAACTAGTAGATGAGATTGAACGCGAGCTAATCGAGAGCTTGAGCAAAAATGTAGAACAGAATCAGGAAGAGCATGAGAAGCAGCTCAAAGAACAGCTATCGGCAGTGAACTCACTATCGCAGCAGGTGGATGCACAACTGAATGAGTTGACCAGCATATTGAAGAGCAAGCCACAGCCGGAGATTGTATTGGAGCAGGCGTGCGCCGAGTCGAAGGCAACGAACGAGATTAAGCTGGTTGAGGTGCCCACACCCAAATCAGAGGCAGAGGAGCAGCAACGCAAGGAGTTCATTGACTCTCTGCCGCAAATCGAACAGACTCGCTTGGGCACACATACGGATGCGGAAGCCAAGCGTCTGTCGGCGGATTGCAAGCGAGAGTATTATCAGTCGCTGAAGAAGTATCTGCTGCAGAACAGTCTGGATAAGCCACCAGTGCCGTTACAAACCTATCGCTGGGAGGATCTACGAAGAGCAAAAGACAGAGTAAGTTGTAAACCGCAAACTCCCTAAGGAACATATACTTATGTTATTTATCTTTTACGCAGGGCGGCTATCCTTGGACGCATCTCTACAAACGTCCACTTGGACCCGACGAGGAGCCCGAAATTGTGCTGCTGTTGCGCAAATCGCAGGAGCTACGCTTCAAATCTGAATCACCCAAGTCGCTGAAGAAAGTGCACTACGACGAGCAGGTGTTGGTCAAGGAAACCGAACGCTACATTCAGGATTTGTCGGAGGACGAGGCGTTGGGTACCACTACTGACGACAGCAGTGAGGAATCCGAACAGTCTGACAACGAAGCAGAGAGCGAGAAGCCCAACGAGGACGCGTTAAGCGAGTGCATTTCCTGTGTCTCCGATTCGGTGCTAGCAGTTGGAGGACACGCGAGACCAAGAAAAACTAATCGCTTGGCGCATATCCGGGATATCATTAGACGCAGACGTAGTGGACGTGTTCAGGGCGACGCACAATCTCTGCCCGGCAGCTCGGCCAATGCTAGCAGACAAGGCAGTCTGAACGACCTAGCACCGCCACCAGGACCACTTGTCCCGAATACAGAAGTACCCACGAAAAAGAGCAAGCCAAAGAAAAGCTTCGACATCATGAAGAAGCTGAAGAGTTTGGCTGATCGCCAGAAGAAGCGCTTGAACATTAAGCGTATTATGCTCAAGAAGGACGAGAAAATTGTGTTGGGCGAGCAGCAAAAGATTATGAAGCTGAAGGCTTCACCAAAATCAGATCGAGGTGAGATTCCGCACTTTATAGAGAAGCAGGACTCGGATGATATATTGGAGCTGGTGGAGTACGATGAATCACCCTGCCGGAAACGTAACAAAGACGAGCAGCTGAATGAGGAGTTGCCCAGCACAAGTGCACAAAGCGCGGCCAGTGTGCCACAGCCGGATGAGATAATTGAGTTGCCCGTGGAGCAGACCAAGACTGAAGCACCCGCTCTGGAAGTCACTGAGCCAGAGGTCGTAGAGACTTTGGAGCAACCCACTGAGGAGGAGGCGCCGCCCAAGAAAACGCCTCGTTTGCGTCGTGAACATGTTTACGAGGAAATTGGTCAGGCAGAGTCACAGCTGCCGCTGGAGCAACCCATGGTTGAGCTAGAGTCGCTCAAGAAATCACTAATGCGCCAGGATAATCTGGCTGTAGATGATGTTGAGGCAGCGAAACCGGTACCATTAGATCGCATGGGCAGCAGCGAGGAAGATCAGGTGGCAATTGCTGCTGCAGACAAATCGGGTGCTCTACTGGCACCACTATCATCCATAGACTCCACTTCCTCCGACGAGGATCGCGCACGTCTGGCACAGCTGACTCCAGTGGCCGAGGAAAGCGACGAACCGATGGAGACTAGCGAACTGCGACCCTCCCTAAAGAAGGAATCCTCACCAGCACCCTCCGACAAGAAGGTTACCTTCTCCCACGTCGAGGACGAAGCCGAACCGCATCGTGAGGATATTGAGCTACCTGACGATGTGCTGGAAGCGGCTACAAATGCGGCCAAGGCAAAGAACGAGAGGTAAGTAAGGGGCGAGTGGAGTGTCCCTCCAATTAAGTATCCTGGGCATTTGACACTAACACACTGCACGCACACAACGTTGCCGACCAAACGCGACTGTTGCTCATCCTCGTCCTTGCAGAAACTCTAACCTAATTGACTTGCTTTTGAAATTGTTACTAACCCTGTGGCCACCGGGAGACGGCAAAAGACGTCGCCTGCGCTCGCGCAAATATGCAAAGCCTTACTACCAAGATTACCACTACACAGACAACAACCAAATCACAGACACCATCACACACAAAGGCACACAATGCACCACCGAGGGGCGAGCTAGGCGCTTAACCACCGTGAGGCTTTGTTGCTGCTGCAGCAGTGGCGGCACTAAACAATATTGGTAATGGGTATTACGACGCGACGGCTCTTAAGCCTTAACATGATATAGACCCAAAGGTAAGAGCTGCTTAAATGGGAACTTCTATGTACTCTGTCCTCTTATTGAACGAAAAAAAACAAAAACAAAATGGTGTCGGCTAATCACAAAATCATTGGTGAACTGTGTATTTAAATGAATTAAATATTTACATATGTTGTTAGTTCTACGTTGGTTTTGGCCAACTTGGCCTTAGTTCCAGCGCATGTTCATTCAATTGAAACTATTTGAATAAACGGTGCTGTGGCACTCAATGAACTCAACACAAGTAAAATAAATTACAAATCAAACGCTTTAAAGGTCAACGAATGACAAGAAGATTTCCGGCAGGCAGCAACGCATTGCTCGAAATAGAACCACTAAGTGCAGGCCAACAAAGTGTTGTTACTCCTGCTGCTACTCGGCTACATCCCAATTATGAACAAGCAGCGCACAAGTCGCTGTCGCTGTCGCTGCCGCCGTCACAGTCGCAGTCGACGTCGCAGTCCGCTAAGCAGTCGACGTCGAATTCATTCGGACTACAATCGAGGAAATTAAAGACAAACACAAATTTCAATTCATGTTGCCATTGTCTCTATGTGTGTGTGTGCTTTTTGCTAATTTTAAAGAACAACATTTTCATCTTTCGACAAATTTCGGTAAAAATTTGTGTCGCGCAAAATGCAAAAGCTCTTCAGTCCTGGCCGAAAATCGCAACGATGTAGACATCGTTCGCGCACCGACTACACGGGCCGCAGTTCAAAATAGATCAACACTCATTGAATACCATATAAGGCCTATATATATATTCCGTAACTGAACAATAAACAGATAAACAGACAAGCTGGCAACAGCTTAGAGCATGCAGCAGTAACTGAACTGAACCCAAAGGCAAAGTCAAAGCTATTTTTTGGGCCTTGCAGAAGAATTTTGAGCTGTATGTGCGAGAAAAAAGTCAAATATATAAATTTAATGTCCAATCGCGCGACAGCGGCGGCTGCTTTGGTGGATGCTTAAAAATAGCCAACGACCACGAACCACAAAACGACAACGAAACTAACACGAACAAAAGCGAAAAGACAGCGAGAACAACAACAACATTGGACAGGCGGAGACGGATTACGACCAGGGCCAAGTAAATAGGCAGAGTCGTAAAAACTGCTGCTGCTGCTGCTGGTGACGACGACGACAGCTGTTGTCGAGGTGATCACCTTTGTGGCTGACAATGCTCAATTCACGGCGTTCGGCCTCGGTGGGCGCTCTGCCCGCTGAGAAGAAGCATTTTGTGTCGCGGGTGGAGAGCGCCAGTGGCGCGTCTTTGGACGTTCGTTGCGCCTGTCAGTTCTTTCAGTGCGAATCATTGCTGCCGGAGCGTGTGAATCCGGTTGACTCACGTCCGAGCTCTCGGCAGGATCACCACATCGACGATCAATACCACCTGCAGCAAGATGAACTCTCGACGCATAGTTTTGAGGTCATTAGCCATGCGGATGTGGCGCCTTCGGTGGACCTGAGCTTCATGGAACGCTTCCCGGAGCTGGAGCAGACGGCACGCACACGTGGATTGGTCGTACGCAGTATTTCGGATGCAACGGAACCAGATATGCCGGGTAACCAGCAGCTGGGTGGTTTAATGGCTGGTCGCCGGCGACAGCTGTCAATGAGCGGTTTTTCCTCGGGCAGCGTGGGACGCTTTGGCGACAACCTGTCCACGCGTAGTGGCACCTCCCTGCGTCGCATCTCGGCCGGCTACTCCAAGACGGATCTGTACTGCGCGGACATTAATATACCTAATCAAATGCCTCGTGGACCCGGAGGTCACCGCTCCGCAAGCGCTAGTCGACGCACATCGAATGCGGATCTGTTTCAGGCAACCATCATGCCAGGTTCGTTGCAAGCGCCACAGCTGAATCTGATTACAGCCACGCCCACTCCGGGCATGTCGGATACGCCGCCGCAGTTCTACTCGCATCAATCCTCACCAGCGCCGGACTTTCGCAACGCCAAGCCACCCTTGTCGCCAGATTATATGCGACCAAGTGCGGCCAAAAAGGAGAATCAACCCGGCGACATGATGCCACAGAATCGTCCCATTGATGTTTCTCGCTTCGGTTGCGATGCAGTGCGTCCCTCAATGCTGCTTGAGTCCGATTTAATGCAGCTGAGAAGTCTCCATCAGTCCACGGACACTCCCAAAGATCCGCTAGCCGCAACAGTTGCTGAATTGGAGCAGCAGGCCCAGGAACACAATATAGTCAATATCCGGGATAACATACAGACACAGACGCGACGTCCGCCATCCATTTCCAGTGAGCTGAGCGTGAAGCCCCTGCAATTGGATGTACTGACCAATATTGAGATTGTGCATGGTGTACCCATTGTAGATATCGATGCAGTGGTGCATGAAGAGGAGGTGAAGGCGGTGGAACATCGCAGCCGCAGTCCCAGACCCACAAGACGTCCCAAATCTCCACCGATGCCACCGACGGCACCAACTGCAACAATGACCACGCTGCAGCTGCCCTCCAGTCGACCTACGAGTCCGAATCAAACTGTGCAACCAACTCGGGATCCATCTCCAGTTCAACTGCTCAAGCGAGAGCACACACCCGAGCGCCAGCTCTCTCCGCACACTTTGCAACAAGCTCGAGATCCATCTCCTGTACAGCTGCTCAAGCGTCAGCACACACCCGAGCGTCAGCTCTCTCCGGAGCGTGCAGCAAAGTGGCAACCAACGTTTACCTCCTCGCCAGCAACAATTGTGGGCACTATCAGCATGCAGGAGGCCTCACCCGAAGTCAAGAGTTCCTATGCCTCGCGTTTCAAGTCCATGTTCAGCTCCAGAACACAAGAGCCACGCCAGAAATCTCCGTCACCGCAACACTCTCGTTCGCCTTCCCCCTACGTGGAGCATTCTCCAACGCTGCAGTTGGAGAAATCTACATCGCCCAACAAGATGTTAACCGTATTTAACAAGAGCAAGCCGCAGCCTATGTCCATTGTGAGCAGCACATCGAACGTGATGAAGCGTCAGGAAGCGGAGCCGCTCTCCGTGCGCGTTACGGAGACCTTCTCACTAAAGGTGGATGAGATGGATCAGTACAGTACGCGTCCAGCTAAGCCACCAGCACCTCCGCCACATGCCCAGACTATGTACAGCAGTCGGGAGGATTTTGCCGCATCCGAACGTGCTTCGGTTGACATTAGTGAGGCTTTCGCTCCAGTGGTGGTTTCCGCGGTGCCTCGAGGCACAATTAGTAGCATTGGCGGTGTTAGTTTTATGGCAGGCAACAGGAATCTGTATTCAAGCGAGATTGAGATACCCGACAACAGTTGGTCGCAGAGTGAGTTGGGTTTTCGGCATTCGAGCAGCAAGGACCAATCAATAGGCAGCCACGGCAGTCGACCACTTATCTCCGTGCCCATACAGATCACGGGCAGTGGCAGTCAGGTGTATCGACCTCAACGGAGCCTCGGTCTGCAGAGCAAAGCGTCGTTTAGGGAGCCGCGCACACAGTCCCATGATCGTGGTGGGCGCATGATGAGCGGATCCCAAGATCAGCTCTATGGGTCGTCGGCTCGCATGACAAAGACGGTTAGTTTCAATTTCGATGAGCGTAAATCGCGTCTAGCGGAATTTGAGTCCGATTCGCCCCTAACACAAAAGCAAAATGACCACAGAGACTTCCTCGAGCGGACCTATTTCTCTCGGTAAGCAACTGCTGCCCCAACAACGTTTCGGCTTAGATCGAACACCCACCGACCACCACCCGACACACACATCCACCCCTGATATTCCAGCTAGCAATGAGATGGGTGACGGCTTTTCTAACCGTGGCTTGCAACAAACAACACCAAAAAAACAATAAAACAAACACCTTTTCAGATCAGCTCATCTATCTGTTGTTCCTTATCATCCTTATCGTTCTAGCCAACTAATTTCATTCCTTCTTTTTGCCCTTGCAGTGATCATGAATATGAGCCCGTGGGCGTCTCGCCGGCGCACGATATCGATTCAATGCCCACTGCAACGCCGGCGCCGGCCCAGAACAGCAGCAGCCTTCAAATACCCATGGATGTTGATATTGAACTGAGTTCAGGTGGAACAACGCCACGCACGGAATCTCGCACGGACTATGAAATACACACTAGCCAGGTGGACTCGAGCGCCTTAGAGGAACTACCACTACAGCCAGAGAATCGCAAGAAGAGTTTCATGGCATCCGCCCAGGATCGAACGCGCAAAATGCAGGATGGCCTACGCAATCAGGCTGGGAAGCTTCGCACCAAACTGCGTCCGCAACCCAAGCCAAAGCCTGTTTCTGGCAGTCCCAAGGCAAAGGCTAAGGAGCGCAGACGCTTTGCACCTGAGTTCTCCAAGATCAAAATGCCCGATATTAAGCGACCGGACATGTCCAAGTTTAAGGAAATGAAACGACCCGAATTTACCAAGTTTAACAAGCCGGACATGTCCAAATTTAAGTTGCCAGAGAAGTTCACCACGTTGAAGCTGCGCCGTAGCAAAAGCTTCAAGGAAAATGAGTCCGGAATGGCCGACGAGTCCACGGAATCGCCGACCGCAACGGCAGATGCGCAGCCAACACCAGCAAAAAAGAAGTTCGAGTTTAACTTTGGCACCTATCCGCGAGCATTTCGCAAGAAGAAGCCCGTTGAGGAGCCTGCACCACCGATAGAGTCTTCGCTAGGCACAGAGGGCCTCAGTCTCAGCGTTATACCCAGCACTGAGACGCAGCCGTCGCAAACCTCGACAAGCTCACCCCAGGGCGATCGTGGACCAGGTCCAGTCCGTTCCCGCTGGGCCGATAAGTTCTCGGATGTGAGCTACAATGATAGCGAGGGATCGCGCTATAGACGCTATGGCAGCGAGTTGGAGAGCTTCGATAGAGAATCATCCCTGGAGCGACGCATGAAGGATGACCTGGAGGAGGACACGGCCAGCGAAGCACAGCCTCAAACCCAAATGGGCATTCTAGGTGGCGTCGCGGATAGCAAACAGTTTGCGGAGTTCGATGAGGAAAATCGTGCCATACACGAGATCTCCAGCCAGCGAACGAGGGAGTTCAAGCGTCGGCCCATGGTGCACCAGGACTCGGATCTGCGCTCCGAAGACAGCCACGATGCTGAGGGCTGGACGGAGAAGGACATACAAAAGAATAAACTGCTGCGCAAGGCCGAACTGGATGCGGAGGCGAGCTACTACAAATACCAAGATTTGCAGGATGCCCAATCCACGGCCAGCTCTGGCAAGAAGGTCGTCATGGAGACTATCGATGACGATGAGTTCTTCTTGCGCAAACGTGGCATCTCCGAGGACAATATCCAGTTGCGTCAATACATCAGCGACGCAATTCGCGAGGGCTACGATCTGCCCAATGCACTGCAGCAAGTGGGCCAGTCTGCCCACCAGACTCGGGAACGGGAGCCGGCCGAGGAGTTTGGAGAGTACGATGTGCCGCCGCCGAAGCCGCGTCGCCTCCATCGCAACTACCGGCCGGACTTCGACGACTCACAGGAGTTCCAGCGCAGCGAGTATGGTGATGATATGTCCATGTCACAAAATGGCAGTGACTTTATGCCAAAGCGACCGTTGCGCAAGGCGCGCAGCCGCAGCAAGTACTCCATGGAGGGTAGCCAGGATCTGCCACTGGCAGATGGTGGCAGCAGCATTCAGTACTTCGACGATGATGAGGATTACCTCAGACCGCCCCAACACGAACAGCTGGCAACCGACTCTGAACAGGCGCTCAACAAACTTAACTTTAGCGCTGCTGCGGCAGCACAGGAGTTGCCCACTCCACAAAGTCGACCTCAGGCGCCAAGGCGCCAAAAGAAACGCACACGCGACGATGCATCTGTGGAGAAGGACGCGGACTCCTTTATCAATGGCTTTGGTGGTAGATCAGTATCGAACACCTTTTTGCAGCCACAGGAAGATGTAAGTAGCCGATGTCATTCATTTTATCTAAATATTAGCTTAATCTTGAGAACAACCATGATTAAAAATCCCTGGTTTTTGAAAATGGATTCAGTTTTGACCAAGTTATGCTGCCATGTTGAAGGAACTTTGCTAAGCTCCTATTGAGGGTGCATTTTGAGATGCATCTCAGCTAATCTCAAAGTTTATGAAAATCAATTTAGTTTTGACATTTTGTGTTTGTCCTTGCCAGGTAATTGTTTATCGCACTGAGCATGAATATCATCATCACATACCGCTAGCCACGCCGGAGAACTTAACGGACGCCACGTCGGCACGCACTCAACGCTCTGAGGATGAGCGTACCTCTCGTGGCGCCGAATCACTGGATATGGACGTGCACAAGCCAAGAGCTGACGTCGAGGAGAAGTTTGTCATCGATATGCTGGAGAGCGATGGGTGAGTAAATTGGTCGCATAGGGTCCCAATTGGCCAAATCGTTGCTTAGGTGTGCGCTCTGCTTTCCTACCCCATCTCCACGAATCTCTAGCTATGCCGTGGTGCGCAAGGAGCAGTTGCCCAAGCCGACGCCGCCCGCACGTCGCAAGAAGTTCGTCCGTTCGCCTGGGGAACGTTTCGCCACATTGCCCAACATTCGTGGCTCTCGCGGCAGTCCGCCGCCAGCCCGTCCACCGCCGCCTCAGCAGTATACGCCCAGCGAGGACTCACCGCTGCCACCGCGTCGCCGCCGTTCGGTGGCCAGTCTTGAGGAGATGCCCAGGCCAGCTGCTGCTCAAGTCAAAGTAAGAAATGCTGCTGCGCCGCTTGATATTATTTGAGTTTTGCTTTGATTTGTGACTTTGGCGACCTTTTGACTTTTGAATTGTCTCGAATGCATTTTTGTTTAAGTCTCGTTTCCTACTTGTTAAGTTGTAAGCTTAAGTTTTAATGCTAATTAATCCTAGATACTATACTGCTCCTAAATATACACGCACACTCCAATAAAACAAATACCAATGGAACATGAACATGAAACACGCACTCACAACACGAGTTTGAACCGCTTTTGTTTCCTTTGCCGCAACTTTCCCGAGACACAGGATCCGTTTCTAATGCTCCTTAAACCCTATTCCCTAGCTACGCGACACAGCCAGCCGCAGAGCAACAGCAACAGAAGCCGCAGCAACTGGAGGAAGACGATTACGAGGAGCCGGGTGTATTACTACAGCGACCCGAATCTCCACGCTCGAATCTGCAATCCGGGGAAGTGATCAACAAAATGAAGTTCCGGCCACTGCCGCCGCCGCCACGCCCACCAAGGGAGAAGCGCTCGACACGTGGAGGAAGCGGATTGGACGGATATGAGGACAGCGAACGCATCGCCAGCTCATCCACGGCAGATAGCTTGGAGCAAGGCGAATTTGAGGTGGAGGTGTCCACTCAAACGGATCCTCTGCCAGATGACTTTGTGTGCGAGGAATTTGAGATAACCGACGACATGAAGATCATCGAGCCGCGACGTTCCTCAGGCTCGGCAGGCGGCAAAACTACGCTGGAGGACCTGTTGCGCAGCACGCAGGCTCAGGAGCCAGATGAAGTGGATGGCGCACGTGTCCTCACTGAGGACGAGCAGCTTGCCCGGGGCTTACAACGGTTCCGCGATGCCAACCAACGTAGTATATCGGAACGCTCACGTGCATCCTCACAAGCGGATCGCTCCAAGTCGCTAAGTCGCCCGCAAACACCATCCTCAGCGGTTATCATTGAGCGACGCGTACCTACACCCAGTTTGAGTGTAGGCGACGGAGATGATACAGTGCAGGCAGCGCTTATAGTGCGTCCCATTAGCGCGGCCGATCTGGACGATGATGAGCTGCGTCGCGAGGAGGAGGAACTGAGACGCGAAGGCCTCCTCTCCGACAGCTCGGTGCAGAGTAAATCTGATGTGGAAACAGCCGGCGAGGAGGAGGAGCATGGCGAGATTGCGTTTAGCGATTACGCAGCCAGCTCAGCGGATTTGGATGCTGCAGTGGAGCAGCTGCAGCAGGCACAACTGGAGAGTGACTATGACAGCAAACTGGAGGACGATGAAGTTGAGCGTACGCTCCGCGATACAGAGTATGAAGAGGAGTATGATGCTGGCGAGAAGTTCTCGGATCATTACGATGAGGAAGAGGATTTGCAACAGAAACAAGAACGCTCAGATCAAGAGATGGACGAGGCGCTAGAGAAAGAGCTGCAAGAAGAAATGGAAAAGATGCTGGCTGAGTACAGACAAGCAGAGATTGCGGAATCTAGAGCGAAGGCATTGGAAGAGGAGCACGTAACATCTGAAGAAGAGCATGTGGTGTCCGAAGCGGAGCAGGTACTATCCGAGGAGGAGCAAACGCTATCCGAGGTGGAGCGTACTCTATCCGACGTGGAGCACACGCAATCCGAAGCGGAGCACACTGAAGTGCAGCCCACGCTCTCCGAAGAGCAGCACACACTATCCGAATCAGAGCAGACCCCGGAACAAATTACAGTAGAGGAGGCGCCCATAAGGAAAACCATTGCCAGCGAACCCTCTGAGGCTGAAGTCGACGCCAAATTTGTAGCCACTTTACCCACCGAACCCGCTACACACAACAGTCAAGAGTTGCCGGTAGAGGAAGACATTCAATCGATGCCCTTGCCGCCACCGCGACGCAAATCCACAACATTGACAGAACCAAGCGCAGCGTTGATCCTCGCCGAGCAGATGGCACGTGAGCTGACGCCTGTACAATCGGTGCAAGCCGCGCCAGAAGTAGTAGAGTTGCCGACGCGCATGCTGGAACTGGAGGTGGAACGTCTGCGTGTTCATGCACTGCAGGCTGGCCAGATCCAGGTCTCACAGCTGCATGGTGGACAGGTCAGTGCCGATGAGCTGGCCTGCAAATCGGGTCAACTGGTGGTGCAGAATATTGAGCTGCCGCCCGGTTTCATTGATGACATCGTGGAACGCGTTAAGGAGCAACGCCCATCGCTGCTTACCAGCGAGACGCAGACAAGCCGCCAGCCCAGCAGTGAACCCGCCGCCAGCGACGTGGAGCCACCGACTAAGCCACCACGACAGAGTAAATCCACTGAATCCACACCACAAAGCAATCTCGATGAGCAAACGCAGACAGAAGCAGCAATGATGCCATTGCCCCCACCGCCACCTGTGTATCCCAGCGTAGAGTATCTGCAATCCCTGGCGCCATTGGCCTTTTACAATTTGCAACGGAGTGCTGAAGCGGAGCAGGCAGCAGCCGGTAGCAGTGCCGCAGAGCGTAAGGCACCGCACAAATGCCGACGTCGCCATATGCACGAACAGCAGCAGGAGCCAGAATCCGAATCAGAGCTTGAGGAGCAGCTGGTGGAACGTCCGCGTTCTCGATCCCGTCGCTCACGTACGCGAAGCGCTACACAACCGCTGGAGGAATACGATGAGGATCAACCAAAGACAGTGGTGCAAGCGGGTCGCCAGTTCCTCTCCGCTTGCAGTTTGGAACTGGTCAACATCATCAATCAGCTGACGACCTTTGTGCGTGGAGATGTTGCAATGGAGCCGGCACAGCAGCCTAGGAATATATCCGCACTGATGGTGCTCTTCATTTTGATAACCTTTGGGGTGCTGGTCTTTCTGGTGACGGGTCGGCAGGTGCACACACATCACTGGGACTACTTCAATCCGCCTGGCAACGAGGGCAGGCAAACGTGAAAAGAGAGCTGCCAAAAACTTGGTGACATCTGTTGCTTGGGTTATTTTTGTATATGATCTGAGGGCAGTTTTGCATTTTTGGAGCATGAAACGAATTTAAAAGCGGGCCAAAAGCGACCGCTCGAAACCAAAGGCCTTAACCTTAATAATATATACTACATACTAACAAAGAAATACTACTTTAGGATGGATGCGAGAAGTCTACTAGTCGCTAGTCGCAGTGAAAACAACTAATTAAACGAAACAACAATCACAGCAAATCCCAGTTCAATCATCGTCAAAAACACTGAAAACAACATACCGAACTTATATAGAACAAATATCTCTCACACTAATCAAAAACAATATCATGTTTTTTACTACCAAGAACAATAACAACTATATAACAGCAGCAACGATCATGTATTAAATATGTACTTAAACTAAGTGAAAAAAAATCATTAATAAGCTACCTGATATGGTGAGCTGTCCAGGACGGGCTCAAGTTTGTTGGCGAACTTACTTATTCTACTTATTTATGCAAAAATGATACAATTTTGTTCGCTCATATTCTATTTTTGAAGAAATTTAATTGTTCAATTACTTAAAGAATCGATTGTTGTCTTTTTTAGACCTCACCTAGGCATATCGTTTATATAAAAGATGAATTGTTTTATCTATCATGAATTTCATACAAAACGTTCTTTTATTAGAGGTATTTAATTTGAATCGCGAGTACTTAGCACAGAAGGTGAACATATGTAAGTACATTATATATACTTATAGATGCGTATTTTCAATAAACAAAACAACAAAAAAACTATTTAAATATGATGACTTTTTGTTTGATAAGATCGGGGAAGGATGAAATGATGAGGAAATAAAATTAGATTACTGAATTACATTAGGAAATCATCATTATATTGGACCATTTGTCGCTGGTCTTTGTGGCTGCCCTTCTGCGATTTGCTGGCCGCTGCAAGCATAGGAGAAATTGGAAATGAAATCCAAGTTACATTTACATATTTCTACTGCTTACCAATTGAGGACCAAACTGCTGAGGATGAGGCATCGTTAATGGGCTCAATTTGTGGCTGGCGACGCGCCAGCTGTACTTGCAGAACTATACTATTGATGCTCTTGCCATGCATTTCAGCAATAGCACGATCTGCTGATTCCGGCTTGGCAAACGAAACAAATCCTCGACTGTAAAGCATTTCAAGATATTACTCACATATTAAGTAACAAATCACACTCAGACGCACCTCTTTTCGATTTCCATGGAAACGTTGACTATGGTGCCGTAATCGTTGAATGTTTTCTTGAGGAACTCCTCCGTAACCTTATTGCCCGATACGAAGATCGTATTTCCCGCACGTGGCTTTTCCGGCTGTGTGGCATCTAGTGTCACCTTTTCCGTTAGGCCCCGTTCCTCGCGATCGCGTTCCGTGGCAAAATGCTGATACAAATTCTGACGTCGTGGCTCCTCTTTTATGATTTCGCTGATTATTGTCTCCTGAGCGACATCGTTTTGGGTGGACGAGAATGGTTGGTAGGCAGCCACGGTAGTCTCGGATGTGGAGCGTTTGGCTCGCTCCTGCCCCTTGGGCCGTTTGAATGATGTCTGATCCTGTTTGGTTTGTTGTTTTTGTATCGCTGGAATGGCACCACTTTTAATCAGCTTGCGTGCCACTTCCCGCGCATCACGCGCATCCGTGGGACGCTTCAACGTAAGTACGCTCTCCGGCTCCTGTTTGGGCGCTTTGTGGGCTTGCAGAGCCTTTTTCTGTTAACAAAAAGAGAAAAGATTTGCAAAACTATCACTAGTGGAAGCAGCGCATTTTGTTTAAGATATGCACCTTTTTCTTCAATTTTTGATATTTCGCTTGCAGCATCTGTTCCTCCTCAGTCAGGTTATTTGGAAAGTGTATGTACACCATTCTTGTTTTTAATTTTTTATAGTTTGTTTGGTAAATATTATATATATTTCAACACAATTCCTCAAAGATGCCAGATCACTACACTTTAGTATTGCCAGATCAATGAAATTATATATTTATTGCGGCATGCATGCTAACATTCTGATGTTGCCAGATTAAAGAAATGAGTTATTTCTGTTAATTTTTCTATGTAAGTTAACATCACATTGCTATTACCTTGTTTTGTGGCATAATATTTGCTGTGGTAAGCAGCTTACCAGTTCTGTTGAAGCAAACAAATGTAATTTTGCTGCTTGCTTGAAATTACATTATTGAACTTAAGGACTGCCATGTATTACATTATAATGTAATATGACATTAAACTTTATTTGGATGTGTTAAGAATACAATAACAGTGTTGGAAAACGCGCTTTAATTGCAACCCTGTGCAGTGCACACTTTTCGCCATGTTGACACTGAGCTGTCAAAATTTTTTCGTTCCTTCTCTTTCTTTCCGGTTAGCGTCATGGTAAGAGTCTACAAAGTATTTTTCGCATTTGGATGAAAAATGTGAAATTAAAATGGTTGCAAGTGCGCACACTGAATGAAGCATTGCCTAAAATCTTAGAGGACAGCGCGTAAAGTTCCTGCTAACAGAAAAAATCATTGAAATTGCGGTTGTGTATGCATAAAATGCATTCGAAACATTTCACGTGGTGCTGAGCTGTTGGTTTCAGTTAGCAGGCAACCAAGCAGCGCGCTGTCAATGTGAACTGAATTTATTTTTACATAAGTTTTTGAAATGTGTGCTTGCAGCCTTTCGAGAGATTCGTACAAACTGGTCGTATCGCCAAGGCGTCGGCAGGTCCCCTGAAGGGTCGCCTAGTGGCCATCGTCGATGTCATCGACCAAAACAGAGTAAGTAGCTCCACCTATGCAGCAGCAACAGCAACAAGTTGTGTGCTACTCCTAAAAGCAACTGCAGCTGCACATGATGATAATTTGTCTTCTTGATAGGAAGTGCCAACTGACACATAAATGAAGCTAGTTTAATTTTACTGAAAGTACACTGCATTGCTTGAAAGCGATCGATATACACAATGGTTGCTGCTTTACTGATAAAAGTAAAAGATACAAACAATTAACATATTTGATATTCATAAATTGCAGGTATTGGTTGATGGGCCATTGACCGGTGTTCCACGTCAGGAGTACAGATTGAACAATCTGCATCTGACCAAATACCGCATTAAGTTCCCCTACACCGCGGCCACGCGCATTGTTCGCAAGGCCTGGGTGGACAGTGACCTGAAGGCACAGTGGAAGGTCAGCCCCTGGTCCGTCAAGGCACAGAACATCTGCAAGGTGTGTATGAAAAAATAAACGTAAAATGGAAAATATCCAGCTTTGCTGCACATGATGATAATTGAAAGTTCTTGATAGGAATTGCCGGCTGATACATACATGAAGCTAGCTTTTTTTTTAACTGAAACCAGCTATAAATTGAGCTGTTTAAAAACTGTTATGTTTGTGTTGACTAATCGGAATTGAAATTTATTTATTGCAGCGCTCGCAATTGAATGATTTTGATCGCTTCAAGCTGCGCTATGCCAAGCGTCAGCGCAACAAGCTGCTGACCATCGCCTTCAACACACTGAAGAAGCGCACCAAGTCCGATGGCACCCCACGCATCCTCAAGAAGGATCGTCGTGAGCGTCTGCGTGCCGAGAAGGCCAAGAAGCCCAAGAAGTAAATACACACAAAAACATTTAACGAAAGTAACTGCTTGATGAACATCCAACACAAAGGAGCAAATAAAAGAAGTGTTATTTTTAGGAAAAACACACGCAACTCATTTGTTTACTCTCTGGGTGAAATTATAGCTATCTATTATGCTATAATTTATCGTGCGGTACACGAGAATATAACTTTTTGCTCTTTGGCTTTAACAGTTTTATTTGCTTTTTAAAAACAAAATTTCAGTTTGCAAAACAAGTCTTTACACACTTAAAATAGCACCAATTTAGGAGTCTTCCTTGCAGTAGATGGTCTTCCAGTTGTTGGGATGATTGTAGCCCAGCAGAATAGGCAGATGCAGAAAGAGAGTGATATGCTGGGCTTGTATTGACGTGGACACCTTGACCCAGTTACGCAGCCATTCGATCATCTGCTCGTTGTTTAGGTTATCCGAGTTGAGACCGCGAAGATTGCAAGAGTAGCGCAACGCCGACGTGTTCAGATTGTGGACGCCACCTTCACGCGTAATGGCCATGTCCATGTAATGCACTAGGAATGCGTGCTCGTGCAGGCGATGCCGTTTGAACAGGCTACTGGGCAGTCCGTGCATGTTGACTAGACATTTCTGCAAGGAACAAGTAACAATTTTCAGCTCAAACATAAAGGGAAGTTGGAAGCGAATGCGCATACGATGTGCTTCCGCGACATGCCCAGCAGTGAGTAGGGTCCCTCGGCGAAGATGTCTTTGACAGCAATTAGAGCCTCAGGTGTGGGATGTGTGCCGCTGCCCAGCTGTCCCAGGATGCACTGGAAATCGGCATGATTTTGATGTCCGGCAGTAGACTTGAGCTTAGCTTGAAGGCAGCGAAGCACGGACTTGTTGCACTGCAGCCGACGCTTCATGTAGTAACTCTGGAAATCGATGCGCTGATCCGGTGTCCAGAAGTGCGGTGTGAGAAATATGCGTGGATACCAAAATCTAAAGAATAAGGCTTAATTATTGGATTACTTAGCTTGCTTAAAAGCTTGACTCACACGAGTGGAAAGAACGCATATCCCACCATTGGCAGAGAGCAGCCAATCAATGCAGGCGCTACCTTCATCATGTCGCGAGGCATTTGCATATACAATTCGAGCTCTTGGCGATTCAACGCCCGGATTCCCTGCGGCGAATCGTTGGCAATGCGCGCCACTTTGAGGAAGCGCTTCATATCCGCAAAGAAGTCCTTGACCCCAACGAAAAACGCTCGATAAAGCTGCATGGCTTTGGGAAAGTTCTTTTCGAGAACTTTGTCATAGTTTTTTACATAGTTGAAGTATCGCGTAAATATGTAATCCTGCATATTGTCGCGCATCTGTTCCCGCTTCGACTGCATATTGTCGCGTATCTGCTCACGCTTCGTCTTCTGTGGCTCCTCAGCCTTTTGCTCAGAGGTTGATTTTTCGTTCGTGGCAATTCCAGTTTTCTGTTCCTTCGCCTTTTTCTCGTCCCAGCCAGCCTCGTAGAGGACTTTGCCCACGCTGGTTATTTCGCTGGCTACATTTCGCTTGATCTGTGGCGGAATCGTTGGTATTGGTATTGGTTTTGGCTGTGTTTGTGTTTGTTTCTCTGCATTCGGTTGCTCTTGTGTGCTGTAATTCAATTTCGGCATGCTATCGCTGTTTGTTGTAAATGAGTTTTTAATGCCGGTCGGTAATTGAGGCGTGTCATGTGCTGGCACCACACTACTTACCAGCCCTTCAGCTTCGAGCTGAAGATGGAGTTGCTGCTGGCCAATCGCACCAGGCGACGGCGCTCCTGGGGCCATCTGTTCCAAGTGCCACTGGCGTGCGCTAAATATGCCACTCTCAATGCCAACGCCATGCTGCCGATAAGCTTAACCCTTTACACACACAAGCCTGCGTAATTACGCAACGACTGCAACTCCGATGCAGGAGCCAGTCTAAATTGTTTCACTTAATTATTGTAATCTTTAAGTTTTCTGCTTCTTCAGGTCAGCGGCCGCTGCCAACTTCACGCCGCTCACAATTGCACTTTGTGTTGCTACATATGTTCAGGCACATGTTGCCGATACGTCCCAATTTCAGCGCTGCCACTTGGCAACATTTTGTTGCCTAATTCATATTGGCGCGATTGAAAATAATTAAAAAGTTGCTGCGATATCGAAAAGATAACAGATTAGTAAAATTAATAAACACTATTAAATATTAAGGCATTTTGAATATTGTTGTTGCCTTAGCGCGCAAATTTAAAATTAGCTAGCATGTCGTCACAGGTCGCTTAGAGAACTCTAAAATGGGTTTGCGCATGACACCACCTCAATCATTTGATTCCGCAGGCTGTTGGTCTTTGGTCTTTTATCCTTCAGTTTACCCGTAAATGCTTTTGGCGTCAGTTGTTTGCACGCTTTCAATGCAGATAGTGTTATCAGAAATGTCTACGCTTGATTTTCCCTCGTGCTAAAAACAAATTAAGCAAAGTGCGACGAAACTGCTTTTAATCAACAACAGTCAGTTTAGTTTGCTAGTGTTTAATTTAATTTATTAACAGTAATAGTGTACGCGGAAACGGAAACGGAAATGTGCCTCAGATGTGTATAGGTATTAAACATTTTTTGACGCGCGAGTCCTACGCACGTGTGCGTGTATGTATGAGTAGGTGTATTCGTGTAAGGACCTTCAAAATGAAATATAAGTAAGAAGCTAAGCGCGTGTCCAACAAACTTTCACTTGTGCAAACAGAGCCAGCAAATTGAACAGTCAAGGCATCCTTTAATGTCCTTCCCGAATGCGTGGGTGTTTTTTTTAAAGGCCTGCTGTTGTAAGCAGTTCTCTTAACTGTTGCAGTCTCATCTGTGGCTGTTGTCCAAATGTTGTGTTAGTTTTATTTTTTTTGTAATGTACAAAAAGTTTCAGTTACATTATTTACTTGTGGTAACATTTTTATATAGCCGCAGCGCGTGCCAGAGAACTTCATACATTTGTTTGCTTGTCTGTTTGCCTTGCAATTCAAGCTAACTCAAAGGTAAACTTGGCATCGCTTTTCTAAGCGAGCCTCATACAAATAGCAACAATCAATGGCTATAAATATCTCAAGCGGTCTCGTTGATGCCCTCTGAACAAATTAAATTGTGTAAATTGTATACCTTTACATGCGTGCTCTATGAGCCATCCTTAAAGTGATTGAAACTGATAGGCTGCTTGCATAAGGATACCTGATTTCTACTTGCTAATATAGAGCCCAAGTTTTACTTCAAGTTCAATAAATAACTAGACTCTAAATTCCATTTGAACTTGTAAAGATATTTAAAATTCATAAACTTGAAAGCAAGGAGCTGATAGCGACACGAATACAAACTATGCCAAAGTGTCTGTTCAACGAGGTAAAAGTTTGTGAAACTATTTGAGCAAGGACATAAGCACATGCTCTCCTGGCACCATGTCAATGTCTTGAGGCAAAAATCACCTAAACACGAGCCAAACGAGTTCTCCGCACACAAACTACTCTGCAATGCAAAAACAAACTAAAAACAAAACTGTGCATGTGCACCTGTACTTAAAGCAGTAGCTGCTTAAGTTTAAAGGTGCTTACAGTTTGACGCCTCCGGTGTCGTTTTAATGAATGCATGCACAGGTGCTAAAAGTACCATAATTTGTGGCATAATGCAGGAGGGTAACTCTGTGTTTATCCTTTAGCTAAGATTCTATTCGACGAATGAATGGAATACCAAATACAATTCAATCACTAAATAATAATTATTTTACTGCACTTTATAGCAAAAATACCTTAGTGCGAAATGTAAGCCGCGACAGGATGAGCAGAGGAAAGAGAAGAGATTGATGTGATAGCTGGAGCAGCTAAAAAACGGCTTCATCGAAGCATATACAAATATATAAAGGCAATCTGTTAAGATGGCCATTAACGTACTCGGCTTAAATCATTATGCCATAAGCGCCATTGTGGTCACCAGCATGCAGCTATTGTTCTTCCTTTTGAACGCTCTGCTTCACTTGGACAAATTGTCGGACTTTGCCGGTGGTGTCAATTTCATTGTCATCGCGCTGCTGACCTTTTTTCTGGGGCAAGTTGACCGCCCATCGAAGGTAAGTGAGTGGGTGGTTGTTAATTTTTGAAACACATGCTATAAATTAAATGGCGCAAATTCCTTAAGCGAAGTCCATTGAATTATACCTGCAGATGATGGCAGAGTGCAGCATGTAGATGGGGGATTTGTCGGCCATAGTTACTGACATTGAAAAGCGAATTTTCCACAAGCAAGCTCACACACACACACACACACAAATACACACACTGAGCACTGGGATGCAGAGTGGATGGTGGAGAGGGACAGCATCTGCAGTTGCCGTGCTCACTGACACACAACAAAGGTTACACCCAGCAGGCCCACATTTTGCAGTTGTTTTTGTTGTTGTTGTTTGTTGTTATTATTGTTGTTTTGCACGTTAGCTACATGACCTTGTCTGGCAGCCGCGACCATGGCCCTTTGGCCAGTTGTTTGTCATCCTGTCTGCTAAATTGTTTGCCACGCGGGCCATTAGTGTGGTTAACTAAGTAACACATGTAACAGCTCACAATATTGTAATCCAAGATGAGATACTTAACTCTAAACAATGTCAATTAAGTGCTTATAAATAAAATAAAGAATCATTCAAGCACTATTCATCATATTCTCATGAGTCTAGGCTATTCATAGTTAATTGAACTCATTTGAAGGCAGCTCTGCAGTTTTTATGAGCCACCTGGCATTTGTGGCGTAATAAATATATAAAGTGCCGTGATACCTCTGAGAGTCTCCACTCATTTATCAAGCAATGAAAGCTGTACCATAAACCACTACCTAGGTCAGCAGAATGCTGCAGAATGGCCGATGGACGACCATCACCGTAACTTTGGTGAAAAAAGGGCAACCGCAAATCGACATAAAAAGAGAGAAAATAGAAATAAAATAGCAGTAGGTCTACCGAGTATTATATTTTATTGCAGCTGGTGGCAGTTTGCAAAAATAAAAGTTAAGTTCGCAGAGCAATTAGTGAACAAACAAGTATGTAATGAAATTGCCTCAGGTTTATGTTTTCTGGATATTGCTTTTTTGGATTCGCTTAATATTCTGTTCGTTCTTGTTGATTTAGCTTATCCATTATTTCTTTTCAGGCCTATGAAAGTCGACAGCTAATGGTAACTGTATTTGTGTGCCTATGGGGCGTAAGGCTCTCTGGCTATTTGCTATATCGAATCATTAAACTGGGCCGGGACAAGCAGTTCGAGGATACGCGAAGTAACATTATACGCTATGCAGTGTTTTGGACTTTTCAGGTGAGTTCCAATTATAGTCCACTAATCAATGAATATGCCATAGCTTGACATTGGACAAGAGGTGTTGAATAATTCATATGAAAATCTCAATACAGCTACAAACGATTTTGTGGGCTGCTCAGGCAATAATTAAACAACCGTTGAACATGCCACAAACATGACACTGGCATGAGTGTGTGGGCACATTTGGCTGTGCTTCAATGTCTGTTCTGTATCTGATTTGATTGCCACCACTTGTTGGCATGCACAGTTCAGTTGACAGTCTACATTTCATTTGAATACAATTATATCTGTCTGTGCTATTTCAGGCTGTTTGGGTGTACATCGTGTCGCTGCCTGTCATAATTATCAACTCTCGTCACTCGCTGCCACAGGCGGTCAAGGGGATGACGACTCTGGACTCTACCGGCACTGGTATGTTTATTGTCGGACTGCTGGCCGAGACCTATGCGGACTTGCAGAAGTTTTCCTTTCGCATGGATCCAGCGAATCATGGCAAATTTTGTAATGATGGTAAGTCGGAAAAGAAACCGGTTAAATACTTATTGAAATCATTATTTTCCTTTAAGGGCTTTGGGGTCTGTCGCGGCATCCGAATTACTTTGGCGAGGTTGTCGTCTGGTGGGGTATTTTTGTCATATCGCTAAATGTGATCAGTGGCTTTGAGTGGGTTGCAATTGCATCCCCCATCTTTATCACACTGATCATATTATTTATGTCTGGAATTCCGTTGCGAGAACGCAGCGCCGATGAGAAGTATAAAAAGTGAGTATGCGAAATTTCTATTTACTGGCAATTACATAAGCCATCTTCATTTTAGCCAAATGGAGTATCGCAAGTACAAGGCGTCAACGTCACCACTGATACCGGTGCCGCCGGCTGTCTATGAGGAGGTGCCAGGCGCTCTTAAGTTCATTCTGTGCTGCGAGTTTCCCATTTATGATACGATGCGACTGCACAAGGACACCAGTCCGTACTCGCTGTCCGTTGCGCACTCTCACTCGCACATATAGCAGTCAGTGGCTCACTCCAGCAGCGCGACTGCAGGAGTGGGTCAACAAGTGCAGACGCATCCCCACACCCACACGCATCCGTCGTCGAGTCAAACGCACCACCAGCATAAGGGTCAGTGCTATGGAGACTATGGTGGCCTGGCGGAGCGACATCATAACTGTGGCGGCAGTTGTCGCAATGTCAACGTCAAGTCGAATCCTTATCAGTGCGAGGCGGGCTATGGCAATTACGGTGATGACGATACGGATGATGGCATTATATATTGTGCGGGTCAGTCTGGCTCCAAGGCCAAGATACACTATTTTCAGGCAGCTCCACATGCTGTCGATTTGGAAACGGATGAGCCGCACAGTAAACCTGCACTGAAGTGCAGCTACCTGGCGGAGGAGGAGCTGGCCTCCGACTATGATGAGGATATACCACCCATCGATCTGAGCAAGGTCAATAGCGTGGAGAGTTTTGTTAATCGTGTGCAGACAGAAACCGAGCATTCCATAAATGCCGAGGGAATGCCGGTGACTGTGACTACAATATTGTGATTGTCACTTTAAGCTTTGTTGTTGTTGTGGTGAAAACCAATTTATATAGTTTTCTTAAAATAGCTCTAAATGTGCTTAAGTGTGTTGGAGATATTTAAATATACCCCTTTATCGATGTGCTGAAGTTATCTTACCCAGGCGAGCGCTAAAAAATATGTGCCAAAAAAAGTGAAAAGAAAACAACTACTTACAAAACATGAGAACGCTGCATTTTATTAATTGGATATTCGATGCTCAAATTACACTCTTTCAAAATTAATAAGCCTCTCTTTTTATTAGTGAGAAATTTATTTAACTACTGTATGAAAATGTTTTCTTATCAACTACACAAATTCTATGTATGAAAAACACGCCCCACCTACAACAAATAAAGTTATGTAGCCAAGCTCGAGCGATATTTAAACAAATACATATCCAAAGTTTTATTTATTTTATTTTTTATTTTCTTTCATAGTCGATATGAACTCAAAAGTACAAGAAACTAGTTATATTTTAGATAAATAGTAGTCGGTCTATAAGCTATTTTATTTTACACTTGCCGAAACTCTCTCAATATTTAAAACAGTATTATTAAATGAATAAAAACATTGTACCTTATTAAGTATTTAAAAAGCTATTACAGAAATAAAAGCAAATGCTTAGAATAATAAAAAAAATCAAAATGCTTAAGTAATTTTAAAATTTTACTATTCAATAAAGAGAATTTAAAAGCTTTAACTACTGAATTTAAAATGTATTCATTCGAAAATCGTACAAAGTAGGCATTTGGAATTCGACCCCCTGATATCTGAACGCCAAACCAAATAAGTTATTCAGTTCATTCTCACGTGTCGTAAAGTATATATCTGTTAAAATTTCTAGTTTTTCTAAAATTCATGTGTTTTTCAATTGTTACATAAAATAGATTTTTGTATTATAAGTGAAAAATATTTAGAAAAAAAAAAAAATACTAAAACTCAAGTGATATTATTAAATCGTGAAATCTGTTCCCACCTTTCGAGATGTTCGGATTAACGCGCCGGTTCGCCTTTTGCATCGCCAAGAAACCCCAACTATGTCGGGAATACGCGTCGCAAGCCATTAACCAGATGCTGATGCTGCAGCAAATGGACATCTGCGCCGATCAGCCCTCCCGTGGACTGATTATCGGTGTCTATGCAGATGAGGAGGACAAGAATGATGCAGGTATTCTGACACACGCCGGCTGGCGCTACAATGTCCAGAAGACCAATGGTCGCCTGATCGAGGTGCTCCGCATGTCGGGGCCCATGCCTAAGCGTGGCGAGGCCCGCCTCTTGTTTGCCATTGAGCCCGAGCGCATTCCTTACTACTCTGTTGTTGCCGTTGTTGGCCTGGGCAAGGAATGCTTGGGATACAATCCCTATGAGGTTCTCGATGAGCAGAAGGAGGCCATTCGTCGCTCCGTGGCAAAGGCTTGTCAGGTTCTTGCTGAACTTGATACCGATCGTATTGAGGTTGAGAACTGCGGCCATGCGGAATCTGCCGCTGAAGGAGCAGCTTTGGGAATTTGGGCCTATCAGGAAATGCGTGATCCGAAGACTCGCATTTCCGTGCCTACTATCGATTTGTACGCTCTCAAGGACGAGACCTGTGACATTGAGGGATGGCGCATTGGTCTTCAGAAAGCGGCTGCACAGAACTTAACCCGGCAGCTACAAGAGATGCCTTCCAATCTGCTGACTCCCACGGCATTTGCACAGAATGTCGTCGAAGTTCTGTGTAAGTCAGGCGTCAATGTTGAGGTCAAAGTTGAGGGCTGGGCAGAGAGTCAGTCGATGCATGCTTTCCTTGCGGTAGGCAAGGCATCCTGTGAGCCACCCATTTTCCTGGAACTGAGCTACTATGGCACGTGTGCCGAGGAACGTCCCATAGTCCTCGTCGGCCAAGGAATAACATTTGATGCTGGTGGCTTGTGTCTCAAGAAGCGCGGAGAGCTTTACCACATGCGTGGCGACATGACCGGAGCTGCTGTTGTGGTAGCCACCTGTCGAGCAGTGGCGGGACTCCGATTACCAGTCAACATTCGCGGTCTCATTCCACTTTGCGAGAACGTTATTGGTTGCAACTCATTCCGTCCTGGCGACATGGTCAAGTCTATGAATGGAAAGACCATTGAGGTCCAGTGTACTGACCACGAAGATGTCCTGGTTCTAGCTGATGCGTTGCTGTACGGTCAGAACTTCTGTCCCAAGTGCATCATTGACATTGGCACCTGTTCCGGCTATATGCGTCAGGCCTTGGACGAGGCTGCCTGTGGTATCTTCACCAATTCAGAGATCCTCTGGCAACAGATAAAGCACGCGAGCATGCACACTGGAGATCGTGTCTGGCGTTTCCCATTGTGGAACTACTACAGCAAGGCAGTTCGCGCCGGAGAACGCAGCGATGTTCAGAACTACGGTATTGCTCGTGGTGGACGTCCTTGCAAGGCAGCTGCCTTCCTCCGCGAATTTGTGCCGTGTGGCCAATGGATGCACATTGTAAGTTCATTCAAAGCATTGACTGACGACTTTTATTAATACATTTTGAATTTAGGATGCCACCAATGTTATGGTAACCAATGGAGTTGACTTCGAATATCTCAGGCGTGGAATGGCTGGACGTCCTACCAGAACCCTCATTGAATTCATTGCGCAGACCATTTGCAAGGACACTGCGCCAAAAATGGGAAAATAAAATTTGTATGCAATGTTAATTAGAGACGAGGGACAGAAAAAAATATTTCAGGACTAATTTGGTTTAACGTTTTATTATTGTAGGGTTTCCTGTTAATGCAAATTAAATGTACAACTTCGTGTAAAAAAAAATCTCATTGAAGCTCAATAAAATTTTAAATTGTAAATATCCTTGCATTTTGTTTATTGATTTGTACTTAAGAAGAAAGCATTGAAAATGTGCACATTTATATTCCATGTGTTCTGAATTCTTAGGCAGACTGATTAACGTTGTCTCTTCTAAGAGTAGCGATTCATAGATTACCCCATATTCTTTGAATACAGTTCGATAGAGTTTGTACTAAAGCACCGATTCTAAGGCACAATGCCCCTCGAAAACCTTTAAAGAATTGCTCATATATCTTTAAGGGTCTCGACAGATCATTTTTAACTCGCTGGAAAGCATTCTATTGATTTGCATTTAAGCATGTAAACATTTCCTTGGCCTGTCGACTCGAATAAAACAATGGACATCAAGAAAGTCCTTCAAATAGCTGAAATAAATAGATTTCTTCAAAACAGAAAATTGCTCATAACTCTCTAATATCGTTGCTGATCTCGATGTGTCCTGTGTGAAACATTTTGTTTAGACCCGTGCTGATATTAACTGACTCCAAAATCTGATATCACTATACAAGGGTGCTTTTAAAAATTGAATTTTCTGAAATTTTCTCAATCTAGTCGTTTCTGAATACATTGTCTTGATGTTTAGGACTTTCAACAATATGTAAAATAAATATATTCAGTATTAAATTTATTCTTTTGGCGACAGAACACGCAACAATTAAAGAATTCCGGATAAAATCATCGAATTTTACAGTTTATAATATATTTTAAATATTTTAAATATTATACTTCTGTTTTGTACAAAAAGTAGAAATGTTTCGCGCAACAAAAAGTTTAGCCTTAAGGGCATTTTCACAACGTCAAACTATTTTTCGTCGAAGTTATTCACAGATGATTAACCAGATGTTGCAGATTCAACAGATGGAAATCTGCGCCGATCCTCCCTCGCGAGGCCTTATAATCGGAGTCTATGCCGATGAAGAAGACAAGAACGATGCGGGAATCCTCACGCAGGCTGGTTGGCGCTACAATGTCCAGAAGACGCATGGACGTCTGCTGGAGGTGCTGCGAATGGCTGGACCAATGCCCAAGCGGGGTGAAACTCGATTGCTATTCGCGATAGAGCCGGAGCGCATACCGTATTACTCTGCCGTGGCCGTAATAGGTTTAGGAAAGGAATGTCTGGGCTATAATCCCTACGAGGTACTCGATGAACAGAAGGAAGCCATTCGCCGTTCAGTGGCCGATGCTTGTAGGATCCTGGCTGAACTGGACACCGATCGCATTGAAGTGGAAAACTGTGGCCACGCCGAGTCCGCCGCTGAAGGCGCAGCGTTGGGAATTTGGGTGTACCAGGAGCTGCGTGATCCCAAACGTCGGATGTCAGTCCCATCTATTGATTTATATACCAACAAGGATGAGATCTGTGACATTGAAGGCTGGCGCATTGGACTGCAGAAAGCGGCTGCACAGAACTTAACCCGGCAGCTACAAGAGATGCCTTCCAATCTGCTGACGCCCACGGCGTTTGCACAGAATGTCGTCGAAGTTCTGTGTAAATCGGGCGTCAATGTGGAGGTCAAAGTTGAGGGCTGGGCTGAAAGTCAGTCGATGCATGCTTTCCTTGCGGTGGGCAAGGCATCCTGTGAGCCACCCATTTTCTTGGAACTGAGCTACTATGGCACATGTGCCGAGGAACGCCCCATAGTCCTCGTAGGTCAGGGTGTAACCTATGACGCTGGAGGCTTATGTCTCAAAAAGAAGGGGGAGCTTTTCCATATGCGTGGTGACATGACCGGAGCTGCTGTTGTGGTAGCCACCTGTCGCGCAGTAGCGGGACTCCGATTACCAGTCAACATTCGCGGTCTCATTCCACTTTGCGAGAACGTTATTGGTTGCAACTCATTCCGTCCTGGCGACATGGTCAAGTCTATGAATGGAAAGACCATTGAGGTCCAGTGTACTGACCACGAAGATGTCCTGGTTCTAGCTGATGCGTTGCTGTACGGTCAGAACTTCTGTCCCAAGTGCATCATTGACATTGGCACCTGTTCCGGCTATATGCGTCAGGCCTTGGACGAGGCTGCCTGTGGTATCTTCACCAATTCAGAGATCCTCTGGCAACAGATAAAGCACGCGAGTATGCACACTGGAGATCGCGTCTGGCGTTTCCCATTGTGGAACTACTACAGCAAGGCTGTGCGATCTGGGGGACGCAGTGACGTTCAGAACTATGGCATTGGTCGAGGTGGACGTCCTTGCAAGGCTGCTGCCTTCCTCCGCGAATTCGTTCCATGTGGCCAATGGATGCACATTGTAAGTTATTTCAATCAAGCGACTGACGACTTTAGGGGCTGTTATATTTTCATTTTCTTTCCAGGACGCCACCAATGTCATGGTAACAGAGGGCGTCGAGTATGAGTATCTGCGACGTGGCATGGCTGGCCGGCCGACTCGTACTTTGATAGAATTCATTGCGCAGACCATTTGCAAGGATACCGCTCCAAAGATGAATAAGTAGAATAATATTACAGAAGTAGGCAGACGTTATGGATGATTAGAATCAATTTTCGCTGGATGCTACAGATCGCACACGAAGCTCTTTTAATTTACAGACGATTTAAAACTGTTTAAGGAATAAGGAGACGGGGAAACATTAAAATTCTCTCGTTTATTTATGGAAAAGAATTTATCAAATTAAAAGTTTTATCAAAAGCGATATTTATAAATAAAGTGGTTTGAGTATACGGAACGTGCGTTTTTGATAGATTTGGCGCCAGAGCTACATTGGCATCGATTGCTTGGCGTATTGCTCGTCAGAATATTGGATTCTCAGGTCATGAGGTGCAAGCTGTGGCTTAAATTCGAATGCGCCGAGTACTACGCCAGTGAAACTGCATGAGTCAGTACAACGTTTATATCAATGGGTGGATAATTTTGTAGTAGTTTCACATTCGAGGCAAAGTCATTCTCCAGGATGGCCTCCCGTTGAATTCTGCGAGATAACATAAAATGACTCATTAGTTACTCAATCTAAGCTATTGCTGTGACTTACAATATCATAGAACAACAAACTTTGATGAGGAAATCAAAGCGCTTCTCATCTGAGAACACCGAGTCCCATATGCGCAACACATCCGGCAGTGGAAATTCCTGTGAGAGCAGCAGATTTATCCATCTAAAGCTGTAGTACTGGGGGTGTAACTCCTGGCTCTTAAGGTGATTGTATATGCTGATGTCCTTCGCTTTTAGCATATTTTCAAGCCTAGACATCATGCACTTTATACCGCCTTCCGCATCATCCAGTGTCTTGATAAAGAAGTCGCGTATTTCACTCATCAAAGCGGTAAAACAAAAGAAACAATCTGCCTCGGCATGGGCACGATTCGACAGATCGGGATCTGAGGCCATCACATAGTAAATGGGTCCAACTATCTCGTTCATGCCCTGCACGTACCCCTGTCCGGGATTGAGTTTCGCGTAGATAAATAAAATTCGTTGCACAACCTCCCAATGCGCCTCTTGGCCCTCCTCCATGGCGGCATAGTTTTCCGCCGATCGCTTTGTGATTAAGTTAATCTGGGTATGTATTTAAGTATTATACTTAGTATTGTATTCGCTTAAGTTCGACCAACTTACTTGCTGCTACATTCCACATGGAGTGCATAATGGAATAGTTCTTGAGTTCTTAATACTCTATACGCCAACATATCTATATCCGATTCAGACTCACCTTAGTCACACCCAGACCTTTGCGCTCAACATTCGCCGAGCTCAGCACGGAAGGCACAACACGCTCGTGCAGCCTTCTACCCTGTTCCCCTTTGCTGTGCACAACAACTTCACATGGGTATTCTGTGGGCTGCTGAAAGAACGATATGTCTGGGCACAGGCGTCTTACATCTTTGTCGATTTGCAGCAGAAATTCGTTATCATTGAAAAACGTATTCCAAGCACTCTCTGGCCCCTCGCTGAGCGGATGATCTTGGAGGCCAACGCCCCTCGATTCATCATCGCTATTGTCTTCGCCATTTTGTGTGTGTCCAGGTGGGAGCACAAGTTCCATTATAAATTGCTTATACAGAGCACGTTTCTTTGCCAATGTGGTGGCCCAATGGATGCGATTGGGTCCCAGATAGCCTAACAACATTTTCCAGCTGAGCGCACGAAAGCTGAGCACATCTGGCACACCTGTGGATTTATATTGTAAGTGAAAGTTGTTCTTACTCTATGCTTCTACTAACCATTGTTGACATTTCGACGCAGTTCTTTAATGTCAATCACATCCTGTGCAAAAAGATCCTCGAATTCCTTTACACTGCGGGAGAGAATTGTCTTGCTTTGTCTTGTTTACGTTTATCGTCATGTGTACATACCGCGCTTTAAAAATTGACATGCTTGCCTTTGCTCTTTTCCGGCTCCATGTAGTGATAAACTCAGAGTATTTGTGTGTCTTTTGCTCTTATTTTATTGTCATTAACAATTAATAAAAGCAGCAATGTAGAAATGCAAGTGCAGTCAACTAATTAATGTATAAACAATGAGGACTGTCTGGCAACGCTGGTCTTGCGCGAAGTTGGCTGCGCGCAATTTTTGACTCACGTGAAGTAAGCTGCGCGCTGTTTTTAAATTTAATACTTTTGGCTGTTATTTTTAATCAATGAGCCATGGTAATACTCATTCATTCATTGCATTCATTGCACTTGTTACTCTTCCCACATCATTAGCATAATTAAGATGCTATTCTGCGCTCGTTATGCATGCTATTCTTTCTGCTGCCTGGGGGGATTTTTTTAGTTACACATAGAACGCGTTGGCGTGAGCAGACGCATTGACGTCTGTGTGGCTCTATATCGGAAAAGAGAGCATTTTTTGAATTGTTTATATGGTGTTCGTGGCGCATTCCATTTGTTTACGCTAGTCGTTGACCAGCAATGACGACCAACAGATCGTCATACGTTCGACCGGCTTTTTGGAAGGTGCCCAGTTATGCACATGACGTAGTATTATCGTCCCTATCGCCCCCATTGTCAATACCGACTTCTCGACTGACTCAGCGGCGTCGCAGCAGTGGCATCAAGAAGCGTGTTCATTTCGCCGATGAGCTAAATGGTGGGGTAAGTCAAGAGACCATTCATACATGTGGCCTGTCAATCGTCGCTGGTGTGGCCCCAATAATCTTAGAAATCAGTTCAATAACATTCTGCACTTGGCGTCTCGTAAATTTGTCAGCCACAATTTAATTAATTGGCCACTGATGCATTGCATCTTAAGAATAAAAAAAAATTTAATCGGCTTTCAGAATTCTCAAAAAAAACATATTTATTGGTATAGCGTTGAATTGACGCAAGCGTTTTTAGCTGCAGTTGCCAAAATGCAAAATGCCTAAGTGTTGATCCAATATTTTGGAAAGTCTTTTCAGGGTGCTTAATTTCGTGCTATGAAAAATCAATAAGATATGTTAACGATTGATTTAACTAGACACAATTCAGCGTTTTAGAACTTTTGAATCGACATTAAGGTACGACACTGTGATGTACAAAACGTATATTGATCAATCATATTAAATCAACGATATCGCTGTAGAAATCACGGGAAAGCACTTTAATGCACAAATATTAAAAGCATTTCAGAATTGCGACGAAGAAACCATGTCAAATAAATGGGTTGCAAAAATAAATGCCAGTCCATATATTGTGCACATACGTATATTTGTATATCAACGCCTGCAACACGAAAATCGACGGGAAGCGAAACGATTTTTCCGTTGTAAAAAGTAAAAACGCTGCCAAATACAAAAGAAAACAATTTCGTTTCGATTTCTCTTGACGTTCTAGCGCATTATGTACATTTCATATCATTTCGACTTGCAGGCTAAGCAAACATTTAGAAAATTTTATTAAGTTTGTGTTATTTTTCTAATTTTTTATTTTGGAAAGGGAAATTGTCCCAGGCAAGACCTTCAGCCGACAGTCTTTGAAGATTGCGTATACGACGCGTTGAACGCGCATTGACTAATGCCACAAACATTTGATTTGTTTATATAAAATGAGGGACCGTTATTGTTTCTATTTGTTAAGCTATTTGAAGCGTGCCAGTAAATAAATTTAATTACAGCCTCTTATTCGGTAGGCTACATAAAAACGTCTGAAAACAAATAATAAAAATTGTTGAACATTTTTGAACAACAGATGCCCAACGTTCGTCTTCATCATTTTCATTGTGGCCCAAGACGATGACATGTGGCGCTCACTTTCAGGGTCATTTGCTCTATGCAACTGGATCGAGAGCTGCTACAAAATGTTGCAAAGAAATAATTTTGTACTCTAGCGTGAACTTATATTTTATTTAAATTATCTTAAAGGCAAGACAAGCAATATTTTGCACACGATTTAATTTGTTTGCCACAGCATGTTTCATTAGCAACTCGTTATTTTTTTTCGTAAACGGGATGTCGAACAATTGATACGAATTTCACAAGAAAAATTAAAAGTTCATATATATATATATATATGCTAACCAGCGGTTACTAACACCACAGCGAAACAGAAATGCTCTTGACGGAGCGCATAATGAAAATTATTGGCATTTGGGATTGAGTTCATGTTTCTCAGCCGCTGACTACATGATTGTAGCGCAGTGTATTCGTAGTATACCACGATACGTAGCCGATGCTGCAAAAAGGAATACAAATTGTATTTTAAAATTAGTACTTGAGCAGCACTGCGATCGAATAAAACGCGAAAATTGTGTTGCACGCGCTACCTCTGCCTCGGGCTGAGAACTTGGCCGATAAACAATAAAAAATTCGATCAGTGAGGAAGCAGAAACTATATCTGCTTATTAAAAACTTGTCTACTACTATGTTCAATTGAGCTGCAGTTGCATCCCAGTCATTTAACTCTAAATATCGGATCAACATGAGCCCAAAGCTGCACGAGTTCGCTGTGCTGCTCCAGCGTGATGGTCAGGGTACACCCTGGGGCATCCGTTTGGTTGGTGGTAACGATTTGGATACGCCGTTAATCATCACTAGGGTAAAGTTGTGACTGATTATGTAACTAGATCAAAAACAGCCGCAGAAGAATCAACAGCAGCAACAGCAGCAGCAGCAAAGAGCTGGCAATGGTTTCCTTCCTCTCGCCTGTCGCTTTGTCTTTGTGGCTAATGTCGCCTCATCCCCAGGCCCATTCATCACAATTGTTGCACAGAAGCGACAGAGAACTGTCCATTATTTGCTAGCCGTTTGCCAAACCGCTTTGGCCTTTGCGTTCTGCACTACTTAACCACAAAACAAACAACAACAAATCAAAACAGTAAGACTGCAAACAGTCGAACAGGCGCGACTACAAAAATCCCTCTCAAAACCAAAATCAGTTAACAACGTTTGAAAGCGGAAAGAAGGCGGAAGAATAAATTTAGGACAATGTATTTAGCTGAACTTATTTCAAAAACTGCTGAAAACAGTCAATTTCGTGAATGAGAAGAAACATGTGTCGGATGTGACTGTAATGGTTACGTTTCGAATACTTTCAGCTAGATTCAGTGCGATTTCCGTTTGTCTAATTATTCGGTATGCCACTTCGACAGATTAATAAACAAACACAAAAAACCAATAGTGAACCTGTCTCTCTATCTGGCACACCCTTCCATTTTTTCGGCATAGGGTATAAATAGCGAAACTGGCACACGCACACACACAAGCACACACGCACTAAATATCGAATACTAGGAACAGTTGCAATGGCAACGTTGCCAAAGAATTGCAATTTGTAAGACGCTAGTAAAACTAATTGAGGCACAACAAACTGGCAGCCGACGCATGTAAACAATGGGATTGCGAATGGGATTGAGGGAATGGGATTGGGGGAATGGGGCCCTCATAATAGCGATGTTTATGCATCGGTGTCAAGGTCGTCAGCGGTCCTAGACTTGTCTAATGCATTTAACAAGCGACTCTCACATGTTTAACCTTCGTTCGAACAGGTGCAAGTTGGCAGCCCATCATATGGAGAGCTGCTGCGTGGCGACATTATAGCCAAGATCGGTGAGTACGATGCACGGGACTTGAGTCACGCTGATGCCCAGCAGCTGTTTCGCGGAGCTGGCAACGAAATTCGATTGGTTGTGCACAGGTAAGCGACAGCAGCAGAAAAGTTTTAATTAGAGGAGCAGCCCAATACAAGTTTCAATCAAAATTTTAGGGACAACACAATCGCCTATACTCAGGGTGTCAATCAGGAGAGCGGTTCGGGCAGCAATCCAAAGGTGTCTGCCGCTAGTCCGCAGTTGTCGCAGCATCCGCATCGTGGACCATCACCCTTTCTACCCGGTCCCAGTCATTTTGAGCGTGCGCTGCAGCTACCTGTGGATACCTTGCCGCAAACGGTATTTCCACAGCTGAATGCCTCGGGTGGCTATGTGGCGCCCTCGGATATGTTTTCGCCCAAGCCGACACGTGATTATCAACAGGATGTGGCCGAGGAGCAAGCAGCCATAATTAATCAGGTGAGTAAAAAAACAATCAGCTTCTTTTTCGATATTTCAAACAGCTAACTTAATATAATCTACTATTGCCCGTTGATTACTTTTTTATATATCCACAAAGCTGTTCAGAATAGCACAATACTGTTGTTCTCCTCTAAATTGTGTACATATTATTATTAAAAACGCTTCCTTTTAGGCAATTGGCTAAATTATTTAAATATTATTGCGCACAAAAGTATGCAGGCAAGTCATTTGTTATATGGAATTGGACGCCTTGAAGTAGGCTGAAGATTGTTCTCTGAAATAGATATGGATTTTGTAAAAATCGTATGCCATCTGCTGACATCAGAGGATAGACATTTTGTGGTCAAGGTTCTGCTGTTTACACAATCTAAATTTAAATCCAATAATATATACATAAATACGCCCAAGAATTAGCTGCGATTCGTAAACGCTAAACAGGAAAATCTTGTGACGCAGTGTGTGCAGGTGGAAAGCTGACTAGTAAATTAAAAAAACAAAATCACTTAACAACTTTGCTCACGCCCTTTTCCCCAAGTATAACGGCGCAAATATACGAAAGCTATTTTAATTTTCTCGGCCAATTTGGCTGCCTGCAGGCAGGTGAGCAGATCGTACTTATGCATATAGTGTATATAAATCTAAATATACATATGAATATATCTGTATTTGCCCGAGTGTGCATTGCCTGCTACAGGGCATCATCAGAGGCTGCCTTGTGATCTTGAGGCAATGCCGATGAAAGTGTTTTGACTAGCTCCCCTCACCTGATGACGATGTTGATTTAAATTGCTACTCATCAAGGTTACCATTTTATTTGCCAATGCGGCATAAAAATATAAATCAAGGTGATTGTTACTTTGTATCTTTTATTGCATATTTTGATTTATCATCAAATTTTTACTTTTCCTATGTTTTACCTGGTTTTGGGTTTACTTTAAAGTACTGACAATATAAGACACCAAAATATCGAGAAAATCATTTGAAAATGTTGTATTTTTAAATACAAAAATATCATTTCTATTTTTGAATTGTGAAAATTTTTAGTGATCGAAAAACTTGTCGATCAACCCACTCAAAGAATTTGTTTTTTTTTTGTTGGAAATATACCTTTGGAAAAATACCAAAATACAAAAAAAACAACCTTCACATTTAAAATAACAAACATATTCAAATGTAAATTATGAGTTCCTTGGATTTCTACGTCGAACTTGAAAGTTCTTTGACACCTTGTCTGATTTATTGATGAGTTCATGTGTGTCTGAAGATTGAAGGTTAATTACACCTGTCCTATCTCCAATTCCAGTGTCATTTGATTTTGACATCAATTAGGTGCAGCCATAATGTCAATTTTGGATCTACAAAAATATAGAAACAGAACTGTCTGAAGTGTTTGACACATTAGTCGTCAATTTTCATAGCTCAAAGCAAAATGGAACACATCAATGATGTTCTACTGAGCAACATTTTTGTGTGCAATAATTCGAATGTATGTTTCTGCATTCGAGCAATACAATATAACCTCGTTCCTGTTCAGCTTGTGCCTAATTTACGAAAGAATAATGCAAATGGCGAGAGAAATTGAAATTGCTCCAAAAAAAAAAAAACGCAATTAAAATATATCTACCAGATAAATGTCTGTACCAGATACTGTATTGTGAATATTAAAGGCAGGACAAACAAAGTGACAGCACATATATAACAATACTTATACATATATGTCGTTATAAGGAGGGTCTGGGGTGGGGTTTCTCTTCTTTTATTTATTTTTTTTTTTTTAAGGCGCGTGGGCGCAAATGAATAACGCTCACGGCAGCATCCAAGTCCAAGTTTATATGTAAGTATTTGTTGTATTTTTGCCTTTACGCTCGGTGAATAATCTATTTGCACAAAACATTTAGTGTGTATTTGTGTATATGTATCATTAACAAATTGAGAGAGTAGGCAAAGAGAGTGCCTTGCTGTGCTGGTGTGCGTGGGTTTGGACGGCCTCTGACCGTCAGTGTTGCTGTTCTATATGACCATACTAACACACACACGCACACACACACACACATACATTGACAGCAACAAGTCATATATGTGGGGGGATCTATATAGATGGATTGGAATTCCGCGCAGTCGAAATAGCAATAATTCGCCAGCATTTGAAAATTTTCAAATCAGTTGCGTTCGGAATATTGAAAAATAAACAAGTCAAGACAAAACACATCCCTCCTAACAGTCCTAGTGAAGCGATCTCCGCAAGTGGTTAAGAAGAAGAAGAAGAGTTAGCAGAGCAGCGTTGATTTAAACGTGCCCCAAAAGCAAGTTGCCCAATTCACAAATAGTCTCTAAATCATTTAAAGTCAAAGCAAAAAAAAAGGAGAAAAAAAGAAAAGAAAATAATAATCATAAAATTATTGATTGTGATATTTGAAATTGCTTTTTGACACTACGCTGTTACGTAAGAGTTTTCTGTAATTTTTTCGTTTCTATTCTATTCAAATTTTCAACATAAAGGAGTTTAAGTTCAAAAACCACACACATAAATAAAACACAAATCAAAATGGAGTACGTTCAGTTCAAAAACGGATCACCTGTGTACTACAAGGAGCAGCCAGACCTTAATGAATGCATTCAATATCAAGTAAGCAATATAGAGGCTATAAGCAAGACAATAGTGATGATATAAGTGATAATTACAAGGTGAATATTTACTGAAATTTATTCAGAGTAAAGCGAAGGACGTTTTTTTTTTAATACCAATTATAAATATTCTTTATTGTAAGGAAAAGTGAGAATATATTCGGAATATTTATAGTGTACCCATTTGAAAGACGTCACCTTTACCTATACGTCAAAAATGCCTCTTGGAATTCAAGTTCAAACACAAATGTCAGCCGAAGCGACTGTCGAAATTTTTAAAATTATATTTTACTTTTTCGGAAAAATTATTCTTGAATTTTTTTTAGACAATATAATGAACAAGAACTATATGTTCTCATTGCTCTTTTCCTATCTCTCTCTCTCTATACCTCTCTCTCTCTCTCTCTCTCCACCCTCGGTGTCTGCTTCTTATATGTATACACCCACCATTTAGCTTATTATTTAAACATATTTGTTCGCCTTTCGTCAATATGCGTCGAAAGCAAAAACATTTTTGAATACATTTTGCTGAAACATATTTTTCATAGCTCTTTCTGTTTGTGCTCAATGTAATTCATACCTCGTTAGATATTTTTAGAAAAATAAAGCTGAGCGCATAACGAAAGCAACAGCAAGCAGCCAAAGACAACAAAAACAAATAAACAAAATTATTCGAAATGGAATTAATCTCGAAAATAGGTATAGAAACCAACATTGGTGATAATTAGTTTAATGGGAAATAAACCCAAAAACAATTGCAAAATTCCCTAATGCTTTAAGCAATAGGAAGCATTTTGGCATCGTATCAAATAATGTGGTGCAGCGAAAGTGAACAATTGTCACATTTTGAAATAAACACTTTGTTTATATATATTGTGAAACCAACTTATTTATTACATTTACGTTATTTTCTTATGATCTACATGAGGTTTATTGGTGTGTTTTATATTTTTTTGTCAGCATTTTGGATAAAAATATGTAGATGATTTTCGTCTTGGTAAATTTACTTAAATTTATGATAGGACAATTAAATTATACGAGATTAGTTTCGATTAGAAATTTCGAAAGTGACCCTCAAATAAAATTTCAACATATTTTTGTGCTTGCGCCAGCAACGAATTTTAAATTTAGCATCAAAAAATGAACGCTTTCAATTTATTTTCGTATATCTTAATATTGTACGTCCGTCGTTGGATTCGTTCTATGGCCAAGGTGAATGTGAAAATTATGAGAAATGCGCAATTAGCCACAAAAAAAAAAATAAATAAATAAATCAATCAAAAAAATGCCTTATTTTATAAAGGTAATCATCATCATAAAATTTATTTGTGTTTGTCGTCCATCACTTGGCCAGGCAGGCAGTGTCGCTCAAGATCGATGCAATTAACTGCTTGTCGCTGAGTGCTGCATGCACCTCCTCCTCGTCCCACTGCAGCACCACTTTGCTGAGACGCGGCTCCTTCTTGCGCACAATTCGCAGAATGCCCCGCGTCTCTACGAGATCAACAGTGCCCGCAAACTCCGCTTGATCGAGGGCTAAAATGTTGCGCTTGGCGCAAACGCGTCGGTATACCTCATGCAGGCGTCCCATACTAATGTCCTTGTTGCGCTCGTTGCGCAGCATTAGCACCAGCGAGCACAGCATCAGTTTTTGTTGCAGCGGAAAGGCGGCCTCAATGTCTTCCTCTAGATTCTGTGATGCACCATAAACTTTGTTTAGCACCGCAGCCACTTGGCTAACCTGAACAGGCTTCACTGTTTCTATAAATAACGATTATTTGTTATAAATGTGAAACTTCATTTGAGCAGCAGTTAATTTACCGTCAGCCTCTGTTGTTGGACCCTCTAATTCGAGAGCCTTCATGTTAAACTCCTTTTCGCCCGCACGTTTCTGCTGCTCTGCAATCTCGACGACACGCCGACCAATGTCCAAGGCGCGTCGAACATCGCCACTTACTGCGCTCACCTTCGCGGCCAGCAGCTGGAGCGTGACTGGCAGAAATACATCCAAAACCTGTGCTTCTGCGAGTCGTGATTTGAATATCTCAACAATTTGTGGCTTGGTGTAGGGTGGAAAGTGCATCAGTTTTGGTTTCAGTTCACATCTCGCATTCAGTCGCATAAGTGCACGATCCGTGAGATCCAAACTATTGGCAATGCCAACTAGCAAGATGCGGCCACCTGGCAGCGCGGGCCACTCAAAGATCGTATAGAGTACCTCCTGTCTTGAGGTGCACAACTGATCGATCTCGTCCAGCACCAGCAGCAACATGCGCTTCGATGTGCGCAGATGACGTTGTATTGCTGCCAAATGATCACGTTCGGTACGTCCAGTCGGTTTCAGTTGCAACTCAGCGCACAGCTTCTTGTAGACAGCGCCCACGCTGGCAATGCTAGTGCAGTTGATGTAGACACGTTGCAAGCGCTGAGCAAACTCTGGAGAGCGAAGCAGCAACGACAGACAGGCTGTCTTGCCGGTGCCCGGCTGGCCGGATACATAGAGACTGCCAGAGGTTTGACTGTCCAAATGTTGGGTAAAAAAGTCGCGCAGTTCTTGTAGCTGCTCCTCGCGACCAGGCAGATGCTGCGTTTCTGCGCTGTTTAGCACACGTCGTGCATTTTGATATTTGTTGCGTGGCGGCGAAGGCTTTGGTGGCTCGTCCAGCTGCTCCTCTTTTTTGGTCTGCGTTTCAGTCTTGTTTGTGGGTGTTTCCTCCTGCTGCTCGCGTTCATCTATGCTCAGTCTGTCCAGGAGTCGTGAGGGGCTGATCAAATGCTCTGGCAGTGGCTGCATTCTGCGCTGCTTGGGTGGGGACACATGTGTAGCATCGTCCAGCCCCGACTCCCCCTCGCTGCTGCTACTGCTATTGCTGCTATAAGCCTTTGCTCTACGTATATTAGCCTGTTTGGACCTGTTGCTTAAAGTTGTTGTCGTTATTTTCTTGCTGCTGCGTGGCGTCTTTGGATGATCGTTTGTGGTTTTTGTAGCCGCAGCTGATTTCCTTCTGCCCGCTTTGTCCATTTTGTTCAACAGGTTGCTGTTCTCGTTATTCTCTGAAATTACACTAACGATATCATCCTGATCTTCGTCGTCACTTTCCACCAGCTGCTTGGTTTGTCTTCTGCGCCAAACTTCTGAGCGTCGTGGCGTTGTGGACAGCAGCGACGGAGGCAGCGCTGCGATCGTTGCTGATGTCGATTTGCTTACGCTGCTCAGACGCGTGGAGCGACGTACAGCAGCCATATTGTTAAGCTGTTTGAGTTAGTCGCACTATATTTTAGTTTATTAGGCAGTTAATTAATAAAATTTTAGCTTATGAAAAAAGCGTGATTGTTTTTGTAGTGGCAAAGGCGAAAAGTAATCAAAAGGCGCCAAACGCGCCTCAGCTGCACACCTGCATCAGCTGAATTTGACATGCAGTCTGGCAACGCTGCACAGTGTTGCATTCGATAGCGTTATGGGCGCACAATTTCGAATTGTCGCCGCGAATATTAAATTACTTACGCGCTTGTGCGGCTGCGTGTGACCAGACAGCCAACGTTTGTTGGCAAAAATAAAACAGCGAGCGGAAAATGAAAAAATTGCTGGACGCAGGCAAAAAGCGCTTACGTAAGCGCCTATAAATATTTATCTTGCCTTGCTACGCTGAGATATTTTTAAAATATATGTATAGACAGACGCGTTCACTCTCATACATGAAATGGAATTTTGGTAAATAAAGTTTATACAAAATTCAAAATATACCTAAACACATAAGCAGACTACACAGAATACACTCAAATGTTTTTCTGTGTGTTAGCTAAGGCATAGCGAAAATGTTTGGAAACTGTGGTTGTTCTAACGATCGCATAATTTTATTGCCCCGTCAGACTTTGTACATAATTTGTATGTATTTAGATTGTACTAGTTTGTAAGCGAGCCAAATGTGCAAACACTGTATTATTATTATGCTAGACAATAAATTAACCAGAATTCACAATTTGTGATTTTATTAGCCATACCGAACAACTCCACTGGTTCTGCCAGGTGCCAAAGTGAAAAAGGATGCGCCCTCAACAGACTCATACTTGAGACACTACCCAAATCCAGCTGTGCGCGCCCATCCCGGACACGACTACCATGACAGTATCATGAAGCAACGCGTTGCCGATACCATGTTGCACAAGGTTGTTGGCCAGGATGCCGATACTGGCAGAGTGAGTGCTACAAGCAGCAACTGTTTTTCATATTTCCTATAAGTACAAATCTGTCTCTTAGGTTTTCCACAAGCAATTCAACTCGCCGATTGGTCTGTACTCAAACCACAACATTGAGGACACCATCAGAACAACAGTTCCGTAAGTTTACCACTCACTTGGAATTCCTTATGCTACTCAACTGACAATATCAAAAGCTTAGTTACAAAACAGTACACTAACAAATTTGAATTTTTGAATTTTTCGGATTACGCTGTTAACAAACAAATTGAGATATTATTTAAAAATTGAATAAAATATTTGAAATCTCGTAGTTTTTGTCAAATTTTGTATGTAGCTCAAAAATGCGCCCAGTAAGCTTTGAACTAACATTATTTTGATTAGTCGTAACTCTATGCGGATTAATTCTTAGTTAAGTTGGCGGTCTTAATCCATTAATCCTCAAGGACAAAAATTTAAAATCAAATTTACTAAACCAAAGACACCAATGACACCCAATAAGACAAAGGAGTTCATAGATGTTGTACCAGCTCTATGTCAAAATATAAACACATACATGCGCTCTAAATACACATATACACCACATACATACATATATCTTTATATACTATATTCTATGTATATTGTTGTAGCTTTGCCACAAGCGATAGTTATCGCTTGAAGGAAAGTCCTTTGCATCGTCCTTTGCCAACAAAACTTGACGGGTAAAAGTAATCATATTTTGAGCATAGCCTGATATATAAATATACATATATTATTTTAATGGATTGAATGATTTTTGCATCATATGGAAACCACAAAAAAAGAAGCCAAGCATTCGGTCTTCTCAGAAACTATTAGGCTTATTTGGATTCTTGAATGTTTGCCATACACATATGTATTTCCATATTTCCATGTGTACAATGTACATATACACTCACAACTATTGATGTACTACTGTATATTATCCTGCCTGCCAAATGAAAAAAATAACCGAATTGTTGTACACCCTTCCACAACAAGCGTAACCTGTGTAAAGTCTAAAACCCTATATATCAAATCCTATCCAATAAATATTCTTGTTCTACCCAAAGACACAATATACAGTACACTGCATGTGCTCTGCCGTCTATATGTAACTCTACTCTATATACATACGTTCCAAAATCGTTTCAATAAAAGTCGCAATTCAAAACTTCGATGATCTAGCTTGCGATATGAAGAGACAGTAAATTCTCTGTACCCCTGAAGCTCTAGATACCAGAGTGTGTAGCTTATAAGGCTTTCGTTGTTGCCAGCGTTGTGTGCTCCTAGATCCATTTACTGAATTAATTATGGTGTAATTGTGAAAGGTAATGAACAATGTAGGACAGACGCTGTATGTTTCACAGAATTCGGAATACCATATACTATTTTAATTTGTAAGCAGCAAACTTATAATTTGGATAAGATACCTAACAATCAATATACAACACAATACTCTCTAGCCAATATATACAATTTTAGACATAATGTTTAGAACTTAGCTGCACGATTAATGTTAGAATTTTCATCGATCTATCTTTCCTGGAACAAAAACGTAAAATACTGGAGCAACAAAAGCAAAAAGATCAACTTGCAGAGCAGCAACGTCAACAGCGCCAACAGCAACTGCAGCAACTCTATCAACAAAAATAAAATGATCACAATGCAATATTAGCCACAAATATTACTAGCAAATTGAAAAACCCACCCAGCCATTGATAAGCTACCCTTAGTCCTTAAACAATCAAAAACAAAAAAGTTCCTATTGATTTAACAAAGACTTACAAAAAAGTTTACTGAATTCTTCCAACTAAACGTGTCCAAAGACAACACACATAAAGTTCCTATTCCTCTGCAACTATCCAAGTATTAACGCTAACACATCAAGACAAAACTAAACTAAGCCCTGAGAACTCACCCCAATTTAATAATTATAATAATATTTTGATTAATTTTTAAATTTTGTTATGTTGTTCTGTTAAAAATTACTTTAATAATTAGTTGTAAGGAATTTTGTTGAATTATTGATTAATTAAATTAAAAGTTGTTTGAGAAAGTGTCAAGTTTAAGACAAGCAGAAGACACTATGCCTACTTGATTAGAACATAACTACAACAAGAATCAAAATAATTCTAACGTATTTTGTGCACATCCTGTTTTTTCTTTCTATTCTCTCACTACTCTGTCTCACGCTACTCAACCGATGTACAAAAACCTCTAAATACTCATATACGTATATTTACATATATGTATGAACTTAACCACAAAAAAAAAAAAACGAAACAAAAAATTAAACTGAAATAACGTTAAAATATTCTAAAATTGCATAACATTCAAAATATTTTGACAAATAATTAAAAAAAAATATACAAAATGGCGCTTTCAACGATCTCAATAAAATCAAAAATTACGAAAAATCTACACGCGCGGAAAACACAGCTATAAGAAAACTCTTGTTTACGATCCAAGGAATAGCGAGACCTACAGAGCCATTCAAGAAGACGGCGGTTACAGCAGCTATGGCCACTCCTCACCGCAGGAAGTAACCATACCTGTGCAGACTAAGGTCTATCAGCCAAATAGATTGGTTCCAGGAAAGGTAAGATCGCGCCAACTGCCCAATCGTCAACTCAAAACGTTTTCGAAAAAAAAACACACCAATAAAATAAAAAACCTCGTTCAAAACTTTATGTGAGATTTATAATATCAGACAAGTTCGCTCGATTGTCAAGTTCATTGCGCTCTATAAATACTCTATCTCTTTCTCGCTCTGTCTCTCTCTATATCTCTCTATGTCTATATGTATCGTCGTCTCACGTTCAGTCGAACCAAAATCAAAATATATATTATTATTTTAGTAGTCACAGCATTTTTGTGTCCTTGTCCAATCAGAATGTTAAGCGCCGCTTTTAATGTTCTGTTAGTCAGTGTAATTATTACTAATTGGCCGAGGCAACTACTAACTTGGTTTTTTGATAACGTGTCATGGAAACTGCAAGTCGTACAGCATCATTAATCACATTTCTGTGTATATTTCCAAATCACAATCAGCTATCTATTTTTTAGCATTATAACATAATGGGTTACTAACCGAAAGCACGCTCATAACGTTAAATTATTGCGGTGAGAAATAACAAAAATATTCTAAATAATAGAATTGAGAAAAGAGTATAATAATTAAGCAAGTATTTTTTTTTTTCCATCATTTAAATGTACTTTTACAGAAACCATTTTCAGCGCCAGTATCCCGGCCGCCGTACAATGTAAGTAACAGAGCCAATTAACAGAACAGAATAATGTTAATTGATTTCTGTTTGTTCGACAGGTGGTAAACACCCACGATGAGAATATTCGCCAGAGCGGCTCTTTCAATCGTTTGATGTACAGCGTGATTGGTGCAACCGACTACTAAAACAACAACAAAATTAGCAGCAACAAGAACAACAAGAGCAACAGCAACATCAATAATAAGAGCAGGAAGAACGCAGGCGACAACAAGAATAACAACAACAGTTGCTAGTTAAGAGTTACTTAACCAATTTAGCGGATTTTTAATGAAATTCTGTTTAATTTATTGAATACTTAATTTATATAAAGAACGACAAAAACATGCAACTAACAAAAAACCCCTTAAAATATTACGAATCGGAAACAGATATTGATCGGAGATGAACTAAATTATTATACATACTATATAAAATAAAATTGCTCATAGATGAGTTAATTGTTCTCAACCTTTTTGTCAGTCTCCTCCATATGCAATAGTCAATAAAAACAAAAAAAGAAGAATTTTTTAGTTGAAGATTTTTAACTCATATTTTATGTTCATTTTTAAGTTCACTTTCAAATATGGAAGTCAACAGCGAGTGGTTCTAGTCATTAAAATGTATAAAAGAAATCAACACAATTTTAATCCAATAAAAATAAATACATAATTTATGCATATTAAAAATGGAAAAACCCATTTATAACTAATTTCAATTAGAGCCTAATGACTGTCAAGTTAGCAGTCGGTTACATTGTGTCTCTCTCCCCTTGCCCAATCCGACAAAAAGTGGCCCGAAAAACTTTGCATAACATTACTCTGCAAATATAATCATTTCAAAACCATCAATCACGTCGACAATTAAACACATTTTTATTGTAATTATGTGTATGCAAACTTGAGCACATGAATAGATAGATAGAAATAAGATACTTGTGTGTTTGCCGTATGCGTACAGCATGTAATTTTTAATCTGCAGAGCAGCCATATAACGATTGTTTGTAACACATTATGAGGTACTTTCACTTCACGGCTAAGTAAACCCGTGATCAGCTGACCGGGTACACACACGCACACACGCACACACACACTTAATGCTCCCATTAAACGGCCAACGGCGGTTAACGATAAATCGCAGAGTCAGTGTCTCGATGAAGACCTTGAGCTAACGAAAATCCTTCATGTGTGTCATCTAAGACCCAAAAATTTTGCCATGAAAAGGGATTTTCAACGGCAATTTCTGGGCGTAACTGTAAGCCACAATTTGTTGGTAGCACTGGCAATATGTCGAAGCTTAAGTAATCGCATCAGCGTCGATTACAAAATATCGAGTTTTATGCATGTCTCTACGGTGTGTGGGCGCTGCGAGGAGAAGCGGGTGGGTGGGGCTGAAGTGGGGTTGTTAAGGTGGGTTGCTTTATTGGGGCTTAATGGCTTGATGTACGTGCGATCACATGGCAACAGTTTGAGGTACTTGCATCTGGTGTAAAGGTCTTGAATGCAAAAGATTTGGCAATCGGCGCGCCAACAAATCACATCAAAGATCGCTGGCATAGTTGAGGCTATTCAACCGCAACGTAGTCGCAACAGACACAGATACAGATACAGATACAGATACAAATGTATATATATGCATACTTGCATAGGTACAAATGCGAAGACAACGAAACGCTTCGATTTTGAATTTTTCAGTAATTTGGCGATTTGGGTCAATCTCTACGAACAATAGTTTTTTGCACTTGCCGAATGAAATTCAATAAATTCAACTTGGGCGAAGCCCTAATCATATTGACCCCAGAGTCTCTGAACCCGCCGAATGTTAATAAGCCTGGCGCAAATAGCATGCAGACAATTAAAAGATAATCTAATGGCAATTTATGCGAATAAAGACCTCACAAATTGTTATACAAATTTGAAAATTTGAACTTATATTGAAAAGATTTGTATAAATTTAGCACAGCCAACAATTAACTAATTTTGAAAGGCAGTGCCCTTTTATTATTCTTTGGCACATAGTTTAAGAATGCATTTGAATGTGTAATGAAAACTTTTTGTCGGAAAATCGTAATAGAAAATGGAATGGGTAAAAATTGTCCACGGCCATAACTTGGTCAAAAGTGATCAGATTTTCAAAAACCGTGACTTTTCTGATCATGGTTTGATCTATAAATTAATATTATAAACGCGTATTAAAATTATACACCCAAATATCAATATCAAGTAAGTTTGCCAAAACTTATGCGATTCTTAAAACCCAGGGCTTTTTGATCAGTGTTTGATATCTATATTAATACTGAATTTAATAGTTTGTTCATATTAACTAACAGGTGTTGAAAGCGTAGCAAATGTTAGTTAACATCGAGGCAACGCACTAACTCAGTTGATAGTTGTAACTCTGTTGATTTGAGCATTGAACAAACACGAAATGTTTTGCATGTAAATGAACTAAAGCGGTAACTGGAGCAACAATTTTCACTAAAGCAACAACAATGGCACACAGGTCGAGGCGAGGTGGAAAAACAGCTGAGAGGCACCCAAAGGGGAGGAGGGCATTTAGGGATACAATGAGACAATGTGGCCCATGATATAATGGCAACGGAAATGACATCGATGTAAGCCAAAACAGCTGTTTATAAATCAAAAAAAGAGGGTCCAAGTTGGTCATGTTAGAGAGTCGTTGCTGTCGCAGTTAGAGAGAGCGAGGGAGAGAGAGAGATAGAGAAAGAGAGCCAACTAGTTACCGCTCAGCACAGCAAACAACTTCGAGTGGCGTCGATAGACACAATTCGATATAAAAGTGCAATTTGGGTTCGCAGCCATCGCAGATAGTTTTGTGGCTTGGAGTGGGACGTGTGTGCATTTAATAACGATCGGTAACCAAAAGTGAAGTGTAACTCAGCAAAAAGGCAACGCAAACAAACCACTCGTATAACAATGCAGCTCTTGCTCGTGGTGGCCACGGTCGCGTTTTGTGGAGTTGCTCAAGCGCAACAGGGCGTCGATCCCGCCTATTTGCGTCAGTATTACCAGCAGTTGCAGCAGCAGCAGCAACATCAGCCCTCCGATGGCACGCCCATCTATGAGCAAAATTCAGAGCAGACGCAGCAATATGTGAGCGCTGGACAACAGGTCAGGCTGAAGGATACGGTCTCCGACCAGATACGCGCCCAGCAGCAGCAGCAGCAGGGAGGATATGTGGCTCCAGCAGTTAGGGATTATGTGCAACAGCCGCAGGTGGGTGCACCGACTCTCAACAACAGGTAAAACTAACAGGTCTCTAAGCACATCCTTCACTTCCATTGCAGTACCAGTCACAGGCCCAGCAGAGCGTCTATCGCCAACAGCAGCCAGCTGCAGCGCCGCCTCGTCGCGTCCAGCAAGCTTACCAGTCTTCGTCGTCGCCGCTGCTCGGCAAAGGACAATCGAAGCTGAAGCTGCAGCAGCAACAACAATCCGAGGAGGAGGAGCAATACGATGATGTAAGTTGACCATAACGGGTTCGAACTCCAACTTTAACCGAATAGTCAAACTCGACTACTGCAAAAGCAGCCGCAGCGCTTTCGCGCACTTTCGTTTTCGAAAACAATGCTGCCAGCGCATAATTACAATCGTTGCATGCATGCAGAGCGAGATGTTTCCCCATCGACTCGAGTTCATTAACCAGCAGTTAACACAAACCCACAACAGCCCCCGGCCCCCAAAAAATAAAAAAAAAGCAACCACTTGGCATTTGGCAATAGCCATGACCATAAGTATGTCCAGGTGCATTGCGCCCCAACTCGCACTTATTTACCAACGTGATTTGAGCCAACGCTTTTTAATGCGCGCCTCATGCGGAAGCTGCGAATGCTCGTCAATCATTATCCGTTATAAAATTCACATTAATCAGCGGATTAAATGCAATTCGCTTTGCACAATCTTGATTTTGCTTAATAGAACAGTTTTGTGATTTCTCTTAGGAGTGAACTGGTTGAAAGAGTCGAGAGAAAAGTTAATGTAAAGTGAAAGGTGTGAAATTTCAAATTAATATCTAGGGAAAGGAAAATTTAGCAAAGATACAAAAATAATAAAAGATACATATTTAAGAGAGCTATGAAAATATGAGACAATCCAGCTTTACTATAAATATTCAAGAATCGAATTAATTAGAATATTTCCTAACATTTAGGGATACCTTTCATATTGAAAATTAGGCTGATGTTGAGGTATTAATTACTTACAGCTGCAGATCGAGTTCTGCTTAGAGATACGAATTAATTATACCATTATGTGTAATTTATTAGTCCAGTATGTTGAGTAGGTGTTCGCTTATAGCTGATTGTATTGCATTATCATTAATTTTTAGTGTTCATGGTACTCAATTATAGGCAATTCTCACAGATCTGCCAAAGTAGTGCCATAAAATATCATGCTGCATGTCATGGGCGCATTGCAGGTTACAATCACTTTCAAATGCGACCCATATATAACCGACAGACCCAGATCCGAGTGGACAGTGCACGCATTAGAACCGGCTCTCAAAACTAGATTTTTGGCCAATTGCCTTTCCAATTCCAATTCCGTTTCTTTTTTTGTTCAGCTGCATGCTGCTGCGGCAAAATGCAATAATTTTTGCTTGGCTTTTTTGGGCCACGTCAGGCCAAGAACAAAGAATATACTGCAGCAGCGGACACGCCCCGGGCCACGTTTCGGCTTACCTTAACCTACTTGGAGCTATGTGCGATTGCCTCGTGGCCAAGTGGGTGATTGAAGCGATTGCGCTTGTCGCTTCCTCACCCTTCTACAATGTTCAGACCTTGTGCATAATTTATGCACTGCCCAGGGGCAAGAAAATACAAAGAAAAAAAGAATAAATACAAAAATCTTGGACAGGCCTCAGTGGGCATTACGTGCAAAAGAAAAAGAGCTGCTTCTACCACTGCCTAGCTGTTGCATAAGTCATGCGATCACTCCATGCCATAAGCAAAATATATATGCAAGTAAGACCAAATTACTTTCACTTGTGCGTGTTTCAGACCTGGGCAAAATGGGTTTGTGTAATTTGGTATTGAGTATTGGGTCTGGGTTTAAGATTGGGGGGAAACTAAACACACCCACACGCATGCGCTGCAGACATGCAATATGATGTAATGCATCGCCTGGCATGATCATAAAAAAAAACTGGGTCACACTGTGCTACGCATTTGAAATGCACGAAATCCACAACTAGTCTACATAGGCACGTATCTGTATATTTGTCTGTCTGTCGATTGCAGCAAAACTCCTCGTACCAGTTTGGCTTCGATGTGAAAGACGACGAGTTCACCAACTATCAAAATCGCAAGGAAGTTCGCGATGGTGGGGTTATCAAGGGCAGTTACTCTGTCGTCGATTCGGATGGTTTCATTCGCACGGTCAAGTACACCGCTGATCCCAAGGAGGGCTTCAAGGCGGAGGTCATTAGAGAGCCCACCGATATTGTGGTCAAGATTCCAACGCCATCGCCACCAACGCAGCTGCTCCGAGCGGGTGGCCACAAGGCACAACAGGAGTACGGCCAGGCCAAGCAGCAGTATCAGCACCAGCAGCAGCCGCAGTATCATCAGTACCAGTAAGGAGGAGAAGGAGGCTAACATATCAAAATTATACTTATATCCTCTTTGAAAGTTCCGCCAGACCATGTAGTTTGTAATTTCGTCGTCGACTCAAGCAGGCAATGTTCATAACATTATTCAGATTCATATATATATATAAATATTCATACGACTTTCAATAGTTTGTAGATATGCTTATGTTTTATATAGCTAAAGCAATCGAAATTATTTGTATGATTTTTGGATGTAGAATATTTAATTAAAAATGTGTATAAAAATGTGTTTGATTTTTTAATGAATAATGTTTATTGCCAATTTAGAATTGTTGCTAAACTTTGGTAAGCAAGTTTTCCAAATCTAACCAATTGCCCCGATGCTTTCTGACCATTTTATTTTTATAAATTTAAGGCCATACGGTTTGCGAGTAAACAAATTTATTTACGCATAAATCAATGTGCTAACCCTTTAATGTAATTGGCAAAAGAGAAGACCCAAGACAATCGTCCATATGAGACACACACACCATCACACACAACCCGTTCGGCCAGTTGTGTTTGGTGCTGACAAAGGCCATCTAATGTGGAAGTTCTCACAACGATCTCGTGGTCACCCAAGATGCTCGCCCAAAGCAAACCAAAGCTTGGGCCGGTCAAACCGGTTGGATCGTCTCTGTCTGGCTTGGGAAACTGGAACTCACGCCACATCAATCGCAAACGCAGTTGCTGGCAATAGTGTCCTTTCGCAATGTCCTTGCATAAATTAGTAGACAGTGTGAGAACCGACGGAGAGAGAGCGAGAGCCAAGGGTTATCACTGTCGGATCAAGAACACTGATGACCTTATCGGCCAGAACAACCGAACAACCGGTTCTGGACAGTCTACGATTCGATGAGTGACAGACCCGCATTGTCAGGCTGCATAACCAGCAGCATAAACTTACATAATAATGCGCCAGACTTAATATTGATCTTGCGTTGATCCTTTCTCCCTATGGCTTCCATACTCTGCACACATGTGACTTGGTCAGCTGTGCGCTTTAGCAACAAATAATAACTGGACATTACTTGTCCCGGGGCATTTGTGTCACTTTACGAGCACCTTCGCCGCTATGCAAATGAGATGCAACCCTTGAGGTCACCGACTTACAAGATAGCCAAAGACAGACCCGCTGCATCTGCAACCCTCTTGCAAGCAGTCGCTTGCAGTCACATTTGCATATGACCCGCATTTGTATACTGATGGACTGTCTGTTCTGTTCTGTCTGTCTGTCTGCTCTGTTCTTGTAACTAAGTAACTGCAGGACATTTCAGGTCATTGCTTAAAACCAGTTTCAGGTTAAAGGATAGCCAAGTAGTAGACGATTTGACCTTTTTCCAGGGGCCAGTGATAGCCACAACAGACAACAACAACAACAAGAACAGCTAGAAAGTCGTGTAACCGGACTGTCCACTTTTTCACGGCTTGTCCTTTGGCCCGTGAGAAAATGTTCGCAGGATTCCCAGGAGCTGACCTATGGCAAGAATGAGATGGCTGCTTTCTCATGCAAATCTTTTGCAGGGCTTTTCAAATTTCACGCCAAATCATTGCTCTTAAATAAATAATACGCCAAAATTATGAAAAGTCACGATTTACTTATAAACATACGCTGAGCACAGATGCAGTTAATGAAGAAAAGAAATAGAGATAGAAAGAGAGAGAGAGAGAGAGAGAGAGAGAGAGTGAAATATAGAGTATGCAAATTAGCAGCTCAGAGTTTTCCTTGCGCCAAGTCCCAGCGATGCTCACCGTGACCACCCTGACGATCCGTCCAAATCACCTTAAAAAAACAGTTTTTAGTACTTGAACAGAACTTGGCTTAGATTCACAACCAACCTCGCCCTTGTAACGATTTGTGCCGCGCTGTGTTTCAAAACGTCGCTCCTGAGCCTTGGGATGCTCGAGAACATGTCCATGTTTGCGTCCATGTGCTCCATCAAATCTCATGAATATGTCACTAATGTGAGAAACAAGAGTTGGAATTATGAGTTGCAGTTCAAATTGGGAATTATGCTTTGTGAGTTTAATTTAAATATTTTTAAAAATGATTCATTCACAGTTGCTTCGCTTACTGAAAATATTTGGTCTCCTTTTTGGGTTTTTCACTGTCCATTCGGGACTCGGCAGCCACTGCATCCACATTCCCATCCAGCCTGATGGCAAAGCGACGCGCACGTTCCGCCTGCTGTTGCTGTTGTTGCTGATGTTGTTGTTGTTGTGATTGTTGTTGCTGGATTGCTGCTGTGCGGGAAGGCACCACATGCAACACATCGCTGGTGAACAGAGCTGGCGGCACATTATACAGCTGATCCTCAATGCGTCGCTGTTGTTGCAGTTGTTGCAGTTGTTGCAGTTGTTGAAGTGAAGGCGCTGGTTGTTGCGGCGCAATTGCCTCACGGTGTTGCAGTGGCATATAGTTGCCCTCATAGCGATACTTGGCCAGCTCCGCATGCGGTGCCAGAGAACGCTGCAAATACTGCGCACTGGGCTGTGGATAGATGGACGAGAGTGGTGCTGCTGGTGGTGCAGGTGGTTGCTGCTGCTGATACTCCAAGGCCAGTGGCTGATAGCTAGGCCGATAGTTGATCAGCTGAAAGTTGGGCGTGTGCTGTTGATAGTGTGCGGCAGGTGGTGCCACATAGCCGGACACAAAGGGCGCTGCGACTGGAGCCGGTGCGTATTCCAAGCGGCGCAGACGAGGTGGTGCATCATAGTACAACTGTTGCCTGTGGGGATGCGCGTGTGGATAATAGGGCTGGAGTTGTGCGGGCGGCACCACAACTAACAAAAGTTGGCAGACTGTGAGTAGCGCAGCGTTGAGCTCCATCTCGTTGCAAGCTCGTCAAAATTGTGGCTGCATTTTGACAACAACATTGGGCATTTATAGGCAGGTCTCTTGTGGGGCTTGGCTCTTTGGTATTGAGCATGACCAAAAGCCAATAATGCCGGAAGTCATACGACCAGGAGTCAGCGGTGTGTGAAATCGATCGATTCGCTGCCCCAGTCCCTCTCTCAGTTGTGCAATGCTCGAGCGATCCAGCTCCAACTCCAACTGCGACTCTGGCTTCAGTTACCGCTGCAACTTCAGCTTGCGGCCGTTACGTTGCCATTATGTAAAGCGAACCCAATTTGATGTGATGAAACCCAGGGATTAGGCAGCTGGCCTCAGGCATTATCAAGGTCAGCTCATGGAAAGAACTCTTTGCCCAACTGTCAAGTTCAAAGCTTGGCTATTTAGCATATATAATTGTTTTGGCACTTCCCTTTTAACCGTTAGAAACAGCCATGCCCAAAACACAATCCGTATGCTGATTGGCTGCTTTAAAATTTAAGGGTTGTTTGTCTGACCTATAACATAAAGCGCCGTTTGCAACTTTGCAACCCCCTGTCAACAACCCTTAAAAGCCTTCCTCGCTGTGGCAGTAGAATTCCTTAGCTCATTCGACTTCTGAAGTTGAAAGCCAAAGCAACAGCAGAACTCGAAGAACTCCTTGAGAAATTCGAAAAGGCTGCTAAGTTTACGCGTACTTGGATAATCAAGCAGTAAGTTTTGCTAGATCGTCATAACACATTTATATATGTAATTATAATAAGGACACGGTGGTCGGTTCAACATTTCAACATTAAGAAAATCTCCAGATCCACTAAAGTTTGTATAGATTAGGAGTGCGCGCTAATAGATACGGTTATAATACAATGATTTCTCTTTGGTCTCATCGAGAGACTGCTGCAACAAGTTTTCAGTGCTTTCGATACGTGTTTTTGTTGTTGTTGTTGTTGTTTGTCAATGAGTTTCGTTCTAATCAGCCATGTTGACATTGTTCATGCGCATCTTGGCAAAGTCCTCGAATACAATGTTATCATCGTCATCCTGGTAATAGCCCTTGACATTGCGATGCTGCTCAATGGACTTCATCTTCTTCATGGCATTCGAACGCTTCTTCTCAATGGTGCCTGATCACAAGAAGGGAATGGACCAGTTAGAGCTGGAATTGTAACTCAAAGATTGGGATTGGGATCGTCCTTACCAGGTGCTGGTTGCAGCAGCTTGAAGGGCACATCCGTTTGCATCTCACCGCCCAGCGTGCCGCAGTTCAACTTGATGCGCACCGAGTACGAGATGACAATACCGCAGGCATCGCCCGTGTTCTTGCCCTCCTGCACCATGGTCGAGGAGGCCAAGTTGACATCCTCATCCTTCAGATGGCCATCGAGTGCAATGCCTGGGAAGGGTATATAAGACATGGATTGCTTTTTTGGAGGCGATTCAAGTGCTCACCATGACGATCCTTGTTGTTGGCTGCCAGCGGAATCAGATAGAAGGTCTTGGTCAGATTGGCACCCGGTGTGATGGGGCAACCCTCTTTGGTTTCCAGCTGTGCGACATGCTTGCTGAACTGTGCATTCACCATGGTGATCTCGGTGTGCTGCACAATGAAGCACTTGATGCTCTTCACCGACTTCTTCGAATTATTCGACACCTGCACGGTGGCAGCCACTTTCTCGCCATGATAGTAGATCTCCCTGTCAAGAGTAACCTCCAAACTGATCTTGCCGTTGGAGAAGGTGAACCCCTTGCTGACAAGCGAGCTGGGCAAGCGTTGTCCGCGATTCAGTGGTGCATATTGAAGCTTCTTGATCACCAGACTGACCATGCTGCGCTTGTGCTGACGATCATCCTCGGAGTCAGCGACATAGGCACGAATGGTGTACTCCACGCCCAAAGGCTTGCCGTTATCATCGCCCTCCTGCTGCAGCGTCACGGAGCTGGGTGAATTGGGTGGGAAGTGGAAGGTGAATGGATGCGCATGGCTGCCCAATTTGCGCACTAGTTTCTCCTGCATTGGGGTCATTTCCATGTTGTTGTTGGTCATGGGCACAATTTGATCCCTCGACAGGATGAGCTCCTTGGAGAACTTGACACCCATAACCTCATCCTCCTCACGACCATAACGATAGGTGGTGGCCAATTGGCCAAATACTTTGCGATTCTTCAGATAATCCGGCTCCACAACGATAACGCCATCGACGGGATCACAGTAATCCAAGTGATCAATGAAGTCACGACGGCCCAGATAGAAGGTAACCTTGCCGTTGGGTGTCGCCTTCTTGAAGACCTTCACGGAGACAACCATCTTGAGGGATGAACTTCTTTAATATAACTAAGTTAAGTTTCTTTATATTTATTTATTTTCTTTTGCGCCCGGAGCTTGGATTTAAACGTTCTGCAGTTCTTCGTTGATAGCGGAAAATGCGACAGGGCCGTGCTGGACGACCTGCTTATATACCTTTGTGTTGGCCATGTCCGTGGGGTTTCACTGCGTCGACCACTAAATGGATTTGGCCGTTATGCAGCTGCTTGTATAAATGCAAAACATTGTTTTTCTTTTTTTGCGCAGTTCTTTGCCACCTCACAATTTCACACCCTCCTCTCCCCTCCCCATTCCTACCCGGCCCATATCATGCCGCTTGACTAAATTGGCTAATGTCAAGTAGCGTTCGCGACCTCGTGCGAGGTCAGTCAAAGCTGTTTCCCTGTGTCTAGGCGACGTAAGTTCCCCTAAGGATTAGCATTTGATGTTATTCCTCTGGTTGTCACTTCCAATTAAATGCTCGCCAAATGCACGCAATTTTTTTTACGCAAGTCTGCTTTTGGCTGAGCACTTCCCAGGGAAACCCTAGTAGTATTTTCTGGATCACTCAGTCAACGTGTTAAAGTAAAACAAATGTCAATATATCGATTTGTTTTCGCATGAACTGCTTAGCAGTTGAATTTGTAAATATTCGCCTATTCAGTGGTAGGCTTTTTTAATTTGAGAGTAGGCTGGAAAACTCCTCTTTCCGTAGAAAATGAATAACATTATTTTAGTATATTTTTAGTTAAGCGGTATCCTTAAATCAACTGCTGAGGATTATCAACAATTCAAGTGATTATATTTACCTTTAATATACCTTTAATGCTAGTTAAATGAGAACTCTTCGACCAGATACAATCATTGCGCTATTGCAACTTGGACTTGATCAAGAACAACAACTCGTTTATTAGGGAGAGGCCTAATAGAGAATCTAATAATAATAATAATCCAGTAATTTATCAGTCTACATCTATAACTATATCTATACCTATCCACTTTTACATCTTTATCTACATCTATATCTATATTTAGATCTAAATCTATATCTTACCTACATCTATCTTTACCTATGCCTATATATCTATATATTCCAGCTGATACAACAGATACAGAATGCAAGCACAGAGCTATACCACAACCGATCGTCATGGCTATAGTCTGCGTTTCTCACCTTTCGAGGCAAATCATATGCTGCTAGCTACTAGGTAGGTTAACCCACTCTCAGTTCTAATATCATTCTCTAATCTATTGTTCGATGTTTACAGCCAACTATACGGTCTTGCTGGTGGTGGTTCGCTCTTTCTGCTTGCCGAGAACTCAACAGATGATGCTAACATCAGTGTCAAAACACCAAATCTTACAGAGCTGTGTCGTTTGGAGTGGTCGGATGGGTTGTTCGATGTCGCCTGGTGTCCATATGCCGCCGATATTGCAGCGACAGCCTCTGGCGATGGTTCGCTGCAAATCTGGTCGGGCTTGGATGTTGAGTCGGCAGTGACGGAGCAAACGCCCAAACAGCCGCTGATCTGTCTGCAGGAGCACAAGAATGAGATTTATAGTCTGGATTGGGGCGAAAAGTGGAACTATCATACACTGCTCTCGGCCAGTTGGGACTGTACACTCAAGCTGTGGGATTGCAACAGGCAGAACTCCATCACGACGTTTGTGGGGCACAATGATTTGATATATTGTGCAAAGTTTTCGCCACTGATTGCGAATCTCTTTGCCAGCGTAAGTACCGATGGGCACTTGAACTTATGGAATTCTCTTGATTTTGCAGGTAAACCCCTGATGAGCATCGAGGCGCATGCGAGTGAGGCCCTATCCTGCGACTGGAGCCACTATGATCGCAATGTACTTGTGACGGGCGGATCAGATGGACTGATTCGTGGCTGGGATCTGCGCAAGATGCGCACACACATCTTCGAGCTGTACTCTGGCGAATTTGCGGTCAGACGTTTGGCCTGCTCCCCACACTCGGCGACAGTGTTGGCCTCGGCTAATTATGATTTTACCACACGGTAAGCAAAAGGAAACAATTTAATCCAATTGAAACATCCTTTGAAATGATCTCTCGCCTCGCGCAGCATTTGGGATCTGGAGCGAGGTGAGTCCGCTCAGGAGATAAACGCCAAGCACACGGAATTTGTTTGTGGCCTGGACTGGAATCCGCAGCGAGCACATGAGCTGGCCGATTGTGGCTGGGATTCGTTGGTGAATGTCTATACACCTCAGTGTCTGGCCTAATTAGATGCCTAAGTTTGCTTCATATGCTTACCCCCAACCTGGAACTGGTACTTCAAACCGAAACAAAAATGTGATAAGGTGCAAAGTGGCGCCAAAATAGCCTACGCCTACAAATGGTAGTCAACACCTGGACGATATATATATATATGTGTGTAGCTGAGCTATAGCGAACCTCTAAGGAAACGATCGAACACGAAGCCTGTAAATAGTTGTGATAAATAATAAATGAGAGAAACGCAAGTAAGAAATTATGAAATCCATTTTGCAGGTGCTTGAAATGTCAATAAAAGCTTACAGATTATAAGAGAAGTTCAAAACAGTTATATGCTATATATATTTTATTTAACAACGCCATGGGCTATAATTTTGATTTAACAAGAACTTAAACAAAATCAGCAGACGTTAAAGTTGAACCCTTATCCGGTTGGATTCGTAAGCCAAACAAACACGCAATAAAGCGCTAATTTGCAGCAACATTTTATTGCCTTTGGGCCAACAGCAACGACAGCAACAACTGATATTCCCAGAATTGACACAGTCAACAAGGTGTGTGCCACATCGCACCCTGGATGTGTGAAAAGGTTGCCCGCAGCCAATCGTGTCCAATCTGTCGGTTTGTTAGCTGTTACTGCTGCTGCTGCTGCCGTTGCAGTTGCTGACGAGGATTCATCCTGTCATTAGGCACTCGAATTGAGCTTTAGCTGCCACCTCGGGCAAATATTTGTTTTGATGCCAATTTGCGCTGATTTCTTTGGACAGCAAACCCATCAGTCAGCCATAAGGCAACATCTGCTGCCACTGTAATTATATACAAGAATTGTATGGCCAGTTGAAAAAGTCGACGAGTCAAGTGAAAATAAAGTAGATATTAATGCTTGTTTGTGTTAATCAAAATTTTGAAAATGTGCATTCGTGTAATTTGTTACGGAGAAACGGATAGAAAAAATAAGCTGCAAATTGTTTGTTCCCCTGTTTGTTCTGCTAATCGGTTCCCACCTGGCGATATGAAATCTCTTTTAATTCAATTTAGTTTAAAGCTAAATTAACGCCTATTTTGAAAATTACATGCCTAACAGCCGTGAACAGAGAGCGAGCAATATTGCCAGACTAGCAGATGGCGTGCTCGCATGCATTTCATAGCAGTCAGCTTTTGCTGCATAGCAGATAGTGTTGTACAACACTGATAAATAAAGTGCGCGCGGTTTTTTGATATTTGAAAACCAAGTTTCAGCTTAAGTTCATTCCAATGTACATTTTTGTGCCACGATTTGATTGAAACATAATTAGAGTAGTTATGTATTTTGAATAAGTTAATATTACCATAGAAATAATATATCTTTTATAAAAATAAACAGTTAATCAAATTAATGACATTCCGCCTTACAACAACTATTTAACATTAACTTTATCAATTATTTCCTTACATTATATTCTCTTCTTTAACACAACATTTTAGGGATCATCCAGCTACAAATTGTTGTGAACAATTTACTCGCAGCAATTTTGTGGCAAATTGCCGCCACAAACTATAAATTTACGAGGCACAAAGTTGCAACAAAACCCAAACACAAACACATAGTTGCATGCCTAGATGTAACCTTGACTCTTTTAGCCGCCTGTGGCTCAATCTTGTTGTTGTTGTTGTTGTATACAGTATCCATGAGCAGAGGCAGCTCTTGTTATAAATAACAGACGAATGCCAAAATTTTTCAACACCCAGCACGCGAGTGACAGGCTGTCTTCCTCTCTTTCTGACACACTCTTCCCCATCGTCTATCTCTCTGTCCCTCTCTCTACCCGACTCTCTCTCTGTCTCAGCAGCAGGTTCTGGGCTTGGATTTGGTGGTTTTAGCTGCAACTGCAGGCACAGTTTCAGCATCAGCAATTTAAATTGCCTCCACAAGCATTTTGATGGCGATCACGCGCCCCTTTTGAAATCTTGGTGCTCAATCTGCGGACTGGCGGCTGCTGCCTTCGTGCGGGGCCATAAAGGATCATGGGCTTTGGCCACGTTTTTTGTTGTTGTTGTTGTTTTTCTTTTACGTTTTTTTACGACTGCCTTTGGTATTAATTTTGCTTTAACGTTTTGTTGCTGCTGCTACTCGCATTGTTATTGTTGTTGTTGTTGTTGATGTGCCTTCGCTTTAATCGTCACTTTTGTGCCGACAAGCGATGCCCAAGAATCGTGAGTCTCTGTGTGCGTCATGTCTGTCCGTCTGTCTGCCCATCTGTACGCTCAGAGTTCGGTCTCTGGTGGTCAGCGAACACGTGTACTCTCTGCTACATACAGTATACACACTCGTTGCACCCCCCAAAGCGTTGCACAGCTGGTTGCTGTCTGAGCCTTCCACAGTGGACATACCGCAACACAGAGTGAGGAGGAGGAGGAGGAGAGAACGCCTAACTAGGATGCCAACGAAATGATCGTTTGGTCACACAGATTTCCACTCCTACTGCCGAGCGTGGGCGTGAACCCGAAAAGGCAATCTTGATAAGCAGCAAGCAAGAAATGAACAAAAAACAAAAGAAAAACGCCGGAAATAATTGTCAAGGGATGCGTGTCTAGCTACCTGTATTGAATTTGCTAATGAATCGACTCTTTCTGCTCATTCTATTTTTGTGATCCTAGCAATTAAAATGTGTGGAGGAGCTGCTAGCTGTCTGCTTGGACGGATGTCAGCTACCGTTAGAGCATAGCAGTGTGAATTTATTCACCTGCCTCGAACAGCATTTTATATTTTGCATTTATGCATGAGTACTCGAAGTACAGGAAACTGTCACGAGGTGTTGAATACCTTAAGATGATCACAATGAATGTGATTTTTTTTTCTGATTTACCAACACACATATTTTACACACTGCACACGCCACATACATATGTATATATATATATACATAAATGATCCTTCATCCCTAATTCCAGTTTCTGGGCATTGTTCTCGCTCTCTCTCGCTTATGATATAATTTCGCGTAAGGTCAAAGACGACGATGACTACCTATAAGGATGAAAATCCCGAAACCCAAACGCAATGTTATGCAATAGCCATAGACGGTGGCTGGCCAGGATCATAAAAATCGACGAGCAGGCAGCAACAGACAGCAGCAGACCAGAGATCTAGTTGCCTAATCTAGAGTGGCCATAAAAATGGATCTACATTTTCATGGTCAGCTTCTTTTAGATTTACCTAAAGGAAAATGAGAAAGAGAAAAAAACAACTTGATTTACTTATTTGTTGTTCATCTGGAATATGTGAAAAATATCTATGATTGCTTTGATATTTAGTTCATTTCTTGTATTTACAAAACGATGTTCTTTCGCATTTTTATTTACATCACATGACTGAACTATATAATTAAAATGAGTGCTCTGTGCTGGGGTGCTGACTGATACTGCGAGGGCGGTTTGAGAAATTGTGTCAATATTTTATTTATTCGAAGAAGAGAATTGAGAATTTGTAAATGTTATTCAGTACGGTATTTCTTCATTAAAGGAAATTAATTCATTTTGTTTTCTCCCACCTGCTGTGACAATCACATTCACCCAATTTATTCAACCCGCTGCCTCCCAAACAAATAGCAGCAACAAATTTTGTTGGTTTATTTGGAATGCGCATATTTTGCTGGCATTTATGGCCGTACAA